TGGAGATTGTCCCGGTGTTTGCAACGCAAGAACCCGACATACAATTGCCCAGCACCAAAGACGTGCTGAGGAAGATAAACACCAACATGGTCAAGTGTTTGTCCTTGCGCCTTGTTAATGGTCATGGCAAACGCAGGCTTAATAGGAAACTGGCGCCTAGTGAACTTGATTAGTGTAGATCCGTCATCCAGGGTTGTAAGAGGTATGCGCGGAATAAGCACCGTTCGTCTCCTGAAGTCACCGTTAAGAATCTCAGCACTGATGTATCTCCGACGGAGTGCTCGAACAATCAGACGGGTACCGTTGCAGAGACCGAATTTGCCGTCCATGTTTCGAAGGAGAATAATTAGCTGGCCCACCTTCAACAGCAACTCGTGAGGAGGCATAACTGAAGGATTGAGAGAATTCAGGTACTCTACAGGATACGCGGCATCGTTGGCACCAAGCCAAGATAATCGGAGGCACGGAGTGTTTTCTGGTTGTTCCTGATAAACCATAGGCGATGCGCCTCGATCTTCGCGTACTGGTCCACCACGTACTGTTGAGCAAGGCGGCCAAAACACCAAAAATAACAGCGATTTTCTCGCTCAGTGATCTCCACGTTCTCTCGAAGCTGAAGACCATATGCAGTGAACTGGCGCAATGTTATGAACTTGCCGTCTCTACCTCCAGTAGCGCCTTCCTCATCAGCAAGCAACTGTTGGCTGTCCTCTTCATCTTCGCTCTCCTCAGACATATCTTGAGTGTGGTTTGCTGCCACGCGTCCTCCTTGACCCTCGCCTTGCTCTGGTTCCTGAGCGTCAACCTGCCTATCTCTGGCTGTGGGTTGCACCACATCTGCTTTATCTATGATCGGATACCTGTTATAGGTCCAACCGGTTTCGCCATGAGGATGTAGAAGGATAGAGTGCGGAGGGTCGTACAGTCCACGGAAAAAGTGTTAGCATGTTTTCATAATTTCGACCTTTTTTCTTTGATACTTACATCAATACCGCCTACTGCTACGAGGCTTCACGCGATCAATCTCGTATATTTGTTAAGATTACCTGCCATGTTACGAGCCAATGGATGCACTCTATCAGGCTAATTGAGGACATGAACATATTGACCCCATTCTAACACTTTTTCGAAATATGACCACCCTCTGATTCTGTTAGCTACTTTTCTGCCATTATTAATCGATATGGCCTCCTTTATTTGCGTGAAGCTTCTTCATGCGCTCGGGCATGCTCTCATATAGCTCGTGAAGGAATTCGATATTTACTGTTGTCAATATATCCTGAACACGCTCCCAGAGGTCGTCCAAAGAGTTTGGTGCCTCTGGATACTGATCAAGTCGGTACTTGAGGTGCGACCATAGATGCTCGGTCGGGTTGAGGTCCGGAGAATTCGCAGGCCATTCCATGACTGCGATCTTGGATTTCCTAAGGAAGTCTTCGACTATGCCTGCTGTATGCACTTTGGCATTGTCCTGCTGAAAAATGAATTTTGCTGGATCCATACCAAACCAATCCCGAGATGCGCAAAGATAGTCCTTCAGTACATCGAGGTAGGCTTGTGCATCCATACTTCCTGGGATCCAGCAGGCATCGCCCAAGCCATAAAATGTTATGCAACCCCAGACCATAATTTGGCCCCCTCCGCCCTGCTTTGTTTTCTGCACTTGGTGAGGTTGGATATCCTTCCTGTTGGGCTTCTTGTAATAGAATGTCCTGCCGAAGGACCCAATCCTGCTGATTATAGTTTCGTCCGAGAACATCACATTCTTCCAGTCGTCCACGGTCCATTTCAAGTGCGCCTTAGCAAATTCGTAGCGTGCTCTGATTTGATCCGGTGTCAGATCACGCTTCCTAGGCTGGACGTATGCTTTTAAGCCCTCCTGTTTAAGGTAGTTCTGGACACTGTCTACATGAACCTGCACTCCTTGCACCGATTGGATAAGTCGCTGGCCGTCGCGGAGGGTTACGGCTTTTCCTGTGACGAAATGACGAGCAAGTAAGGTCTTGGTCTTCTTCGAAACCTTCGAAGGACGCCCTATTTTAGGGGACGGAACGTTCTCCTTGTCCCTTTGACGAATCTTGGAAACGGAGAAAGTAGAGCTATGCAAGGATCTTGAGACCTCGCGGACAGATTTTCCTTGCCGAAGTTGGATAATCGCATCGCGTACGGTTTGTTCTCGCAGCCGCTTCATGTTTGATGTAAACTTGGGATGAATGTGGCGTAGGATGGGAGTAGTGGAAAACTGTGCAGTTGTATTGTTCTAGTTGCGAGTGAGGATGCAGACCGTAAGGGAAGAGCACAATTTATAGGATTTTTTAAAAAGTGTTAGAGTGCACCTCATGACTTTCGAGATCCTTCGTTCCTCAGCTGAAGGTCATTCAAGCCTGGAACATTCTAGAAAACTCCTTGTAAGTTACGATATTGTCCACCAAACATCTCGGTCCTTGGTAATAGCGTAATAGGGAGATAAAGGAGTATAAGTCCAAAATAGCAAAACATGCTAACACTTTTTCCGTGGACTGTACTTGGTATCCGTCTCTCGAATTTTTCCCACCCCGCCGCCCCAGTTGTGGAGGTTGATGTCTCTCTTTTCACCTCCTTCTTGGTCCGGTAACAAAACTGCGATCTCGTAGGCCGATGGAAGGTCATATTGGTGGCGCTGCATATCCCGTCGCACCGCTCGGCCTTCAGGATAATCTTGAAATCGGCAATGCGATCGTGATCATAGTTCTCACGTTCGCGTATAGTCTTGTATGTCCGGGCAAGAGGGTTACTTTGCTCGATCATGGTCTGAAGCTCCCTTAATATGCTCTCCTCCAGTTGCGGATAAAGGTCCTTGCGCAGCTCCAGTTGTGCAGTTGAATCGTAGAAAGAAATCTGTGCAAACTTGGGCCGCTCTCCATTTTCCGGAAGAAGGTTCCTATAAAAATGGTGCACTTCTCCCTGGATTCGGAAAGTGTAGACGCCATCCGAAGGACTTGCCAAGTTTCTGTCAACGGTAGCAGCCATGGAGGTAAAAGAGAGGGCCTTGTTATACCTTCGAATATTCAGCCGAAATCGCTTGCTTTCCTCTGAACCCCCTGTGATCAACGCCAGAGGTCGCGGGTGCCCTGTGCAATAAATAAGGTTTACCAGTGGAAATAAGTAACGAGACAAGAGAGGGATCTTTAATGGCCCCGCCAGGAAGGCTATTTTATAGCTGTCCTGGCGGGTTATCAAAATGTACGTGTCTTGCTAAATTATATTATGTACGTATGTCCAAATATGGCACAGCTCCCTCCCCAAGGGAAGGCTAAAAGCCGGGATGCCATAGGGCATATTGGACAGAGTATTATAGGGAAAAAATAAACCCTAGGCGCATATTAATGCAAGCTGAATTGCGCAAGGGAAAAAAGGAAAAACCTTAGCTGCAATTGAGTCGAGGGCTGAAGCACCTCTATATGACAAAATAAAATATCACTCAAGGCAAAAAGAAAAAAGCCTTGTGAGGGAAAAAACCCAGTGGGAAAACCTCAACGTGAAAATAGGGGAAAGCAGAAAAAACCCCTTATCACCATTCAACTAGGTGCTGCATGCCTTGCTCATTAATTTCGACCGCGCTTCCGCGTACGAGTAATAGGCTTCTCCTTATTACGTCTATCGTCATTAATATCTTCGACACTCATGTGGCCGCGTTTGCGTGCTGAGGTCCTTTCTGGAGCAGCATAGGATGTATCGTTCATTGGCCTTTGCTTTAATCGAGCTTTGCCTTTACGTTGCAATGATGAAGTCTCTTGCTCGTCGCACTTAGGGACGTGGTTCTTCAACGTTTGACGAGACTGCGGCCGAGATTGTGTCCCTGGTTGATCGCGAGTCTTCCAGTAGTCTGATAGACACTTTCTCTCAATAAAGTTCTCTTGGGGCTCCCAAGTCTTCTCTGAGTATCCTTTCCAACTTACGAAGTATTCTACATCGCCCCCAGGTAACTTCCGGTGGTCCAGAATTTTTTCTACTTCGTAAGTCACTGTGTCTTCATAGTCGTCGAGCACCAACTTGAGCTGCGATGGCGCGTAATTGCGTCCAAGGAGGGCTCCTGTGCCGTCCTTCAGCTCATATGCTCCTCCAGTCGTGCGACGGACAACAGTGTAAGGGCCTTCATACCTAGGCGAAAGTTTATCTCCCTTAATGGGATCCAGAGACATGACTTTGGCGCCGTCAGGGAACTCATTGTGCAGAACCGTTCTATTGAACCGCTCAATCATCCGCTGTTGAGTGGCACGCGCCTTAGCACTAATAGCTGGAAAGACGGTCTTGGTCATATATTCAAGCCGCTTTAAGAGTTCTTCATGGGATAATAATTCATCTTTGTCGTTGGAGAAATTATGAAATCCGTTGAATCGTCGCGCAAAAAATAGCGAAAATGGGGAGGAGTTGTGAAATGCCACAATCCTAGTGTTTATAGCCATTTGTGCCATCGGAACATGCCTCGCCGATGATGCCTTTTGGTCTTTGATTTCTTTCCGGATGATATTGACGGCCGTCTTAACATGATTCTCTGCAACTCCGTTGCCTCGAGGATGATAGGGTGTTACCAGACGATGTTGCACTCCCATCTCTGAAATCATGACCCTCATAACCTCGTTAACGAATTCTTTGCCATTGTCAGATTGGAGAATGCGCGGGAAACCGATAGTGGTGAATATCCGAAACAGTACTTTTGTGATTGTAGGCGCTTCCTTGTTTGGTATGGGCTCAAGGAACACGAACCGTGTACAGACGTCCACCAGAACGAGAAGAAACCGGTGACCTTTGTCATCCTCAGGGAATGGTCCGGCTAAATCGATAGCCATCTGTTCTCCCGGGAGCTGAGCATGAATGGCAGACAAAGGATGATATCCCTTACGCGCAATATTGACACGTTGACATTCTTGGCAACGCTGAACGTATTCCAGACAGTCCTTGGCCATAATGGGCCACGTCTTGTTCAACGAGTGAATGTGATTCACCATGGCATTGGTCCCGAAGTGGCCAAGCGCATGGGTGCTGGCGAGCAATATTCTTCTCTTACTCATCGCGACGGTCTCACGCAAAGTATTTGCATCCTGGATAAGGTGGATATAACCATAAACCTTTGTAGGCAGAGTACCGGACGATTTACTGGACCATAATTCCATAGGAAACTGTCGAGATAATGCGTCGGGTAGTACATTGAGGACACTGGGTCGATAGACTACCTTGAAGGTATAGTCCAGAATGGTTTCCTGCCATCCAGTGAGCATAGAATTCATCTCCTTCTGTGAATGCATGAAGGTGAGAGCGCGATGGTCCGTATAGAGTGTGAAATGTCTTCCCCAGAGGTAGTAGTGCAGCTTCTTGAGCGCAAAAACAATTCCGAGCAATTCTTTCTGTGTAGCAGAATACTTTCGTTCACGTTCCTGCAAGGATCGAGTGACAAAAGAAATATATTTGATATTGCTGGGTTCTAACTCGCCTCCTGGTAACTAATATAACACCGCTCCTATGCCAATGTTCGACGCATCTGTGGCCACGTAAAAGGGCATGCTGAAGTCTGGAAAGGATAGTACCGGGGCCTGTACGAGAACATTTTTCAGCGCGTTGAAGCATCGTAATTGGATATCGTTTAGTACGAACGATCCAACTCCATTGCGTAAAGCATCCAATGGTGCACCAACAGTACTATTCGGGGACATATATTCCATAGAGTTTTACGAAGGCTTTTTCATCCTCATCGTTCTCGGCCCCATATGTGCCGTCAGCCAATTCACTAGATCTTTCATCTGACCCAAGCTTCCTTAGTTGAGCAGCAACATACTGGACCTTCGATTTGCGATCGGCCATGTCAGCGCCACCTCTGCCCTCCTCCCCGTCGAGAGGATGCATAAGCAGTGAACCTTGATGAACCGAAGCGCAAGCGTAGAGCGTGCGGACGTACGCCATTACTCTTGTAATATAGTATGCTACTCCACCGCTTCGTATAGAATCGGGTGCTGAGCATGGGCGAAATAACACAACCGCCGAAGCACAATTGGGCCTTCGAGTAACGGGAAGTGTCGCTCTGATTTAATAAATTGGATAGTGCCTGGTCAAAAAGAACACTTTTTGATTACTTCCAATTTTAGACCTGAACGCTCTCACAAAGTCGTGGTACCTGTGATGTTTTATGTATTTCAGTGTGAGTCAAGGAGACCAAAGAGCGTTGTTATTTATTATGCTCCCGGTAGGGGTTTTTATAGCCCCGACCTGGTGCTTGGAGTATTAGATAGCTTAATAGTCTCATGAATAAAAATGGAAGTGGCCTAAATATGAAGGTTCACTCCCAGTACAGTCCCAATTTGGGGTCTGGACGGAACACTAGGCGTCCTGGGATCTAACAACCACCTTGGATACTGGATACCAAGCCCGGACGAGTTCTCGGCTAACGCCGAAAAGGACATGATTGCTCACTTGATCGTCGAATTCAAGTTGCCCGTGGCCGAGATCCTGATTGATTATTGTCTGGCAAGAGCTCACTCGACCGACCCTATGTTGCTCGAAAAGTTGATGATCAGTGTTCCGCACCTTATACCCAAGCACCTTGACTGCAACAGGTTTATGCTCGGTTAAGTACATTATGATATCATCAGTGCTTCGCCCACCTTTCTTCGACTTTCTAGAACACTGTTGCTATCAACCCAGCCAGTATATATATAAATCATCCACACGTAGAACTAGACAGCAGCATTCATACGAATAAAGTCCCCTTTCCACCCTAGATTCACTTCCACCTGATCTGACCGTTTGCACTGACGTAGCCTTGAATATTGCCCGACGAGCTGCATTCCTTCCAGTCTTGAACCGAGATCAGCTTCTACAGCAGGCAGTCTATAACGGAGATCAGTGGCGGCGGGGCAAGTTTTGAGCGCCAGCAAAGACAAAGCTGTACGAGGTCATTGATCAGAACCCAATCTTTCATCGTCTCAACCGGTTGGCTATTTTCGACAACAACAAGACCCAGGTCCTCAAAAACCAGCCGGGATTGTTGCCAGTGACGGCTGAGACAGTGAAAAGAATGCCGACATCAAGACCAATCTGTACATGGCTCCGTTTTCGCTGGCTTGGACGATTCAAGGAAACGAAGACGGCAGCAAAAAGGCGAAGAAGGACGGAAAATTATTGACTAGCCAGGTTGTTGACAAGGACTAGCAACTGCCGGCAAAGACGACGAAGCCAGCAATTCCAGCGAAGCCGACGACGGTCGCAGGTGTCAGGACTTTAGTCCTTCGAATGATCTGGCATTTTGTCTTTCCGTTTGACAAGGTCTTTACCCACAGCCACTACGACGATCTCCAAGCCTATGACAATCCTGCCTTTTCGGCCCTGATGACCTACAAATGGACGAGATTTGCTCGATATTTTTGGTGTCTTCGACTGTCGTTTCAAATCTCGTATGAGTTTTTGGTCCTCGTCGTGACATTATTTCAACTCTATGGACTAGCAGATCTGCTCATGGCATACGCAACGGGTCCGAGACAAAAAAATAAAATAGCTTTATTGCACTGTTACAAAAAAAAAAAAAAAAAAAAAAAACTTTATTGGACGTTTAGCACATTTCTACAGACGATATTCCGGGTGTAAACGCCCTCCCTCCCATCTATGACGCCATTTTCGACCAGAACCTTGAGGTTGTGCCGGTGTTTTCAACGCGAAAAGCCGACATACAGCTGCCCAGCACCAAAGACGTGCTGAGGAAGGTAAACACCAACGTGGTCAAGTGTTTGTCCTTGTGCTGTCACGAATTAAGGTTGAGGACAGACTTGCGCTCACCTCAATTGACCCTAGTGGCTTGTGATTGCCTCGCGTCTGTTACGCGAGTCCAAATCACGTCGCGTCTCCAGAATTACCCCACATGGAAAGCATAACTGGTTTAACGTTGCTTGCCCGTTTCAAGCAGACGATTGCCCGCGTCCACCCTTGTCCATTCCATTATGTTTCGGTCCCGAGTACGGGAGCTTATAGGACATAAGCTACCGAGCTGGGGTCCCGAGTCAAGTTTTATTCACATATAAAAGACATAACTAGCTGCCCTAATCAAACCTCAGTCTGCAATAAAATACTTTCCTGCCCTGTACTCACTCTTGCTCTTACATCCTCCACTTGCCTGCCAGTCCAGATCTTGACACAGGCGATATTGTGGTCATCGGCATTGGCCCGGGTGAGGTTTACACAATGACAGCGACAAGAATCGACCCCGCCTTACCTACGAATAGAGAGTCTTTACGAATCCGCAGGGTATTCCTCTACAGGCCTTACATGCTCTTCAAGCGTCTCCTAGAAAAGCAGAAGGCCGCGGCACGCATTGATGTTCTTGAGGCAAGACTGCCCTCATTTACCGTGGAGAAGATCGAGGAATATCTGGCGTATCTGGAGACGCCTGGTACGGACGGCGCCACCGCGCCCACCACGAGAGTCCGCCTTTTTAACTTTTACAACAGTCAGTGGATGCTAAGCAAGCGCTGGGATCTTCAAAAGGCTCAACAGGCAACGTATGACTACGCAGTTGCAGCCCTACTTGACCTTGCCGTCAGCAAGGACTTTGTTGGTCAGCCGCTGAGCTCGCAGGATAGTGTAAAAGTGGTGTTTGCGGTAGGATTGGGCTCTTTTGATTCGCAAACTGGCCTACCAAGCAAGCATAGCGCACTTGAGAAGAAATTTGTCGGCAAGGTAAGAAAAAGAAAAAAAAAAAAAAGTGTGGCATACCATCCCTCATCCGCGCTGCAACTTTTTCTCGTCTTTTTGTTTGTTCTTTGACGCTGCTGATAGGCAAAGGCTATGGAACACACTGTGGTCGGGGTGCGCGAGTATTACACCAGTGCTCGGTGCCCTCGTGACCAATCTATGGCGTTCTTGGAGTCCGACAAGAGGCGGTCAAAGTACTGCCGAAGCTGTCAAATGTACTTTGATCGCAGTATTGTCGGCTCTGGGAACATTGCCACCGTGTGTCTGTCGCAAATCCAGAACCAGTGCCGGCCTGCCAAGTTCATGCCATCAACATAATCATAGGGGGTCGGAACCCTCTTTCAAAATTTGTAATTCAACATACAAAAATAGCGTGCATGAACAACCCATTCTAAATTCTTTTTTTTTTTTTGTTTTAAACCAGGAACTCTATGGTAGTCTAGGTGGCGAATAATACGTATGACATGTAGTTGGAGTCTATGTTAGGTATATAAAGATTTTTTTTTTTCTTTTAAGTGAGTTGGTGCTGTGCAACTATCCGGAGTGCGTTGGTGCGCATAGATCGCGCCACACCAGCACTATTGATAGGGCTGTAATTCAACATAAAAGCATAATGCATATCCCATACGGCTCTGACCCCGCATGCCACCAACTGAGGCAGGTTGATGAAGCGGTGGAACTCTTGCTGGATGGTGACGCGTGGCAGAGACAGCTCAAGTAGTGAACAGAGGTCCTTGCAACAGGTTTATGCTCGGTTAAGTGCATTATGATGTCATCAGCGCTTCGCCCATCTTTCTACGACTTTCTAGAACACTGTTGCTATCTATCCAGCCAGTTTATATAAACCCCATCCACACGTAGAACTAGACAGCAGCATTGATACGAATAAAGCCTCCTTTCCACCCTAGATCCACTTCCACCTGATTTGACCGTTTGCAGTCCTCGTCGGTCCAAGCGGACTGTCTAGTGAAGGTTGACAGGTATGATGTCCATGCGGCTCGTTTCGGCGGGCAAAGGAAGACCATATGGCGCTTGTCTTAGACTATTCCTCCACATATACGGCAGTCTGGAGATGGGTCGTTGTGCCATTGACGGAAGCGGATCTCGTTGGTAGCCAGTTTGTTGTGGATATATCGCTACCAGATGGTTCTGGCATTATGGGGGATTTCAGCCTGCGAAAACCGTTTCCAAGCGGCTTTTGTGCCGTGGCGACGTGTGGCTGGAAGTGGCTTCTGGAAGAAGGCTCGGAGGTCTTTAGAGGAGGCAGTAGCGAGAGTAGGTATGTTTCGATTTGGTGGGGCCAGAGAGTGAAACACCTGCACATCGAGAAGCCGCTGAGCCATGTCATCCTCTGGCTAAACCAACGAGTGAGAGAGAGCGGCAACCAGTTTGGAGTTAAACTTGCTAGGATACCTTGTGACCAGCCTGTGGAAGCCTGGCAGAAGTTTGGGGCCTCCAAAAACAAGGCGTAGGGTCGTGGGGTCGTGGTGCATGATGTCTCGCATGAGATACTGTGTGAACTCCCGAGGAGCTGGCAGTGGTGCGATCCACCATTCTACCGGTGTGGCCAGTAAGGTCTCCGCAGGAGGGAGGAGTAGCGGATCATCTGGGTTCGTGAGGCTAATGCGCGGCAGCTTATTGGCTTCCGTCACAATTCTGCTGAGCACCTTGATCTTGTTGATGGACGTGCGGATTGCATCCGGTGTGGGGCGGATCAGGACAGCGAGTGGCTGGGATTCTTTCGAATATGCACTGAGGAGGACCAGCAGCACTGAACGTCCGAGGCTAGGCCTGAATTCTAACCAGTGGTTTCTGGTAGACAGATACTTGTACCCGTAAGTAAAAAATAAATTCTGCTCTCGCGCCTAGTATGTCCTTCATCTTCTTAAAGGTGAGCCAGAAAAGTGCAAAGTGAGCAAGGGTGGGAGAAAAGGGTGGGGCATATATGGTCCTGGCCCTCGGTAATTAGCAGGAGACTCATAAAGCCTTTCCGCTCTGCAAGACCACCCCACTTAATATGATTCAGGATCCGAGGCTCTATTCCTATTCAACTAAAAATCGGAAAAGGCGGTAATCGTCGCGTTCTAGCACTGATTCTGATTTAAAGGCGCTCAGCCATAATCCAACGGACGATTTTCTATTTCAGGAAAAAACACGTTGCAGCACTTTCTACTCTTCCTTGCTGGCGGTCTCGGTAACCTCTTCTCTCTTGAACTCGAGTGCAATACCCTCCATCATTGTCTTGATACTGTCGACCTTCCCACTGCTACCCGTAACAAAGGTGAAAAGAAGACCAAACTTGACGGTAAAGTCATGAAGCAAAGTCGTAAACGACTCATAGTGATAGTGTTCCAACTTCTGGTCATAAACGCTCATCTTCATGAACAGCGAATTGCCCTCCTCAAGACGGATCATGATCTCGCCATAGACCGGATGAGTGTACTCGCCGGTGTAGTCGGACAATTGGTGACTATGTGGTTGGTTCTCGATACGCTCAGGAAGATCGCCTTTGGCTAACCTCGCGAAATGATTGTATACATGCTGAGTGTCCTCGACAGCGGCTTCAAAGAGCCAGTCCTCTGTTTTGGGCAAACCCAAGAGTTCATCGGCGATGTGGTAGAACAGGCATGACGGCAGGTTGGTGATATGGATGTTGGCCAAATGGGCAATGACCAGATCGGCATCTGGGAACAGGGCCAGGTGGGTTACATACCCAGGATTAGAGCCATCTAGTAGGAAGAGTGAAGAAAGTGATTAGCGCCTTGATATTAGTACTGGCACTTTTGTAAAAAAAAAAAAAAAGCCTATAGATATCAAAAAAGTAGTTTCTTACCATGACGGAAGTTTGCTTGACCCTTGTACGAGTCCACGATCCAACCGTACCCATAACCCTTAACAGGTGACAAGTCAGACCACAGTCTTGGTCGCTTCATAATATTGTGAGGGGTAACGGTCTCTAAAATACTTTCTTTGCTCAGGACCTGCTTGCCATCGAGCTCACCCAATTTCAAGATAACTCTACCCCATTTGACGAGATCCACCACATCCATATAGATATCGCCAGCGGGGGCGACGCTCATAGGGATTTCATCGACATACCCTTCCTCATAGAAACCCTTCTTGGCTTCCTCGAAGGAGGCTGCAGTAAAGGGCATGGCAAAATTAGGCCGTTTTGCCATCTCTGCTTGTGATAGTCCGGCACTCTTGAGTCCAAGGGGGTCAAAGATTTTTGTGGTGATCAGATCCACGTATGACATTCCAGCAACATTGGCGGCTGCCTCGCCAGCGACAGCATAGACGACGTTACTGTAGTTGACGGTGGGGGACAGCTTTGGGGGCATGTCAAGGTGCTTCAGTTGGTTGATGAGGACCTTCGGGGGTGCCGCATTTCTGATCCATGCCAGATCGATATAAGGCACAGGCTGTTAGTGGATTTTTTTTGTAGAGCACAAAGATATGGTAGTAACGGAAGGGTAAGGTCAGCGTCATTGACGTAGACGACTTGATAACAGTAGCGTGCGGAGGGCATCACTATCAATGTTCTTACTGTGCGATGTGCGAGCATGTCGGCAAATGTCAATTGAGAGGTCAAAACAGGATCCTTGAGTTCAAATTCGGGGAGATACTCGGACACAGGAGTCTTGTCCCAGTCAACCTTCCCCTCTGCAACCAATTCGCCAATGGCAGCAGCAGTGAATGCCTTAGTAACGGATGCGATATGGGAGACAGTCTGTAGGACAGGAGGAGAATTTAACGTTCGGTGGCGACCCCATCATGAGAAAGTAATTTTCATTGTCGTCATAATCAGCATTTCGATCGAGTTATTTTATACCTCCTCAGTAAACGGATCGACACGGTTGCGCTTTCCAAAGCCCTGGGCAAAGACGAGTTCGCCTTTATACATGATGGCGACGCTCATTCCTGGGATACCACCCTCGATCCTGGCCCTCTCGAGGACAGCAGGAAGTTTCTCAAAGAACTCTTTGTCGGAAGTTGAGGACTCGTGGATGATGGTCATGATGAGGAAGAATTTGAGGAATACGAAGAGGCTATGAGGAAGAAGATCAAAGAGGAAGGAATGTCCACTACGACGTCTCTTATAAGTACGATTTTCAAGAGTGTACCATGAGCGTCGAGATACTTTCCGCAGTTCGACTGCGGTAGGTACTAAGCATCGACTGTAACACACTCCATTTTTATATTCTCTAAAATGTTAAAACTTCATTCTCTTTATGCAAAACTTTATTTAATTGAGCAGCAGATGCATCCCGCTGTCAAGCTTCATTTTCTCGATTGAACGATTAAAGATCCACTACCACCTAATCTACTGTAATTCTATTGATGTCTTCTTCTTGCCAGTTTCTACTGGGTCTTGAAGATTGTCAAACTGAATGCGACTTTCACCATTAGAATTGGAATAATTTTCTCAAAAAATAATAATGATCGGAAAATAAAAAGATTTGGAATGAGGATGCTGACAGGTTGATTCTGAATGAAGAAAAAAACGTTGTTCCTGAATGTTTCTTATGTTGTTCCTGAATGTTTCTGATGTTGTTTTAGATCCTCCACTTCTTCATTGAAAAAAATGAGAAGTATGACTGTGTCCAGAATCAATGAGAACAAGAGGGATCGGCTATATGCCACACCCCTTGGTGGCCCACGTAACTGCAGCATCGCGGCGAAAATTATCAACGGATCGGTGGATCTCATCCGGGTCCGCGTAAATGGCGACATGGGTCATACTACTAGCTTGGGTAACTACCTCGGTCTTGTCAATCTCGGCTTGCTTGTTAATTTGAGCGGGGAGACCGACGGTTACAGCGTTCTCAAGCATGGCTAGTCTTGGATCCAGGCCGTTAACAAGGTTTCGGAAGAAGTCCCAGTGGTTGTGCAGGGACGAAAGAGAAGGCTCGACGGTCGTGAGGCTCTTAATGTCGTTTTCAATGGCAGTGATGCGTGCATCCAGTGCTGTGAGGAGCTGAAGGGCGTCAGGATTAGCAGATATGGCAGGACAAAATCAAAAAAAAATAAAAGGTCAAAGTTGTGTGATCTAGCAATGTCGCGAGCCTATGCTTATTCAGAATCAAGATGAACTTTTTCTAAGCAAGGCAGATACGGACAAATGGTAGCAAGTGTTCAAGTGTCAAGAAAGAGGTGTCAAGATAAGCTTAGGAATATATTCAAGTTGCTAGATAAGGAGCAAACAAGTACAGAACTATGAAATATAAATACTTCTCATTTGTCTCCGTGTAACGGTCATACGCGTTGCCAAGAGTCGACCGATCGCTTGCCAAGTACCGATCGATCATGTCGTGGTACGCGACAGTACGCCTTTCTTCGTAAGAAGGGTTACCAATCCTCTGTACTTTACCCATCAGCCGCGTCAACAACCTCGTGCACCGCCACCAGAAGAGTCGACCTTCTCTCTCGCTTTTCAGTCATCAGGAATGCTTATACGCGAAACTCCATCGAGATGGCCCATACGATCCTGGAGCTGGATGTCATGCGGTTCGGGACCAAGGAAAACATCATTATCTACGTTGACGGAGTCCAGGCAGAGGAGAAGGAGTTCACTGCTCAGATCCGCCAAGAAGCTCGGGAGAAGACCACTAAGCGATGCAAAAAAAGTGTGGATGAACTACAAAGATGGATCGATAACAACCTCAAGGTCTGTAAACAACACTTTGCCGATGCCTAGACCAGCCTTTCGTCCTCCTTCTATTGGACCCTGCCCATCCGTGATGCATTTGTCAAGTATATGCAGGACGAGGGGTGGAATATTCAGCGATGCGAGACGGAAGCTGATGTTGCGGTCGCTCGGGATTGCAGATCTGGCGATATTGTCGTGTCTGCGGACAGCGATATGCTCGCGTACCCATCCTGTCAACCCTGTGGCGCCCGATTTCAAAGAATTTAATTCTGATCTACAAGATATCGAATATCTGTGAGGTTCTCAGTGTGTCCAGGATCCAACTCACGGTCCTCGCTGTTGCCTCCAACAACGACTATGAAAAAATATCTACTCTCTTGGACTGGCGACCAACTTTTCGATTATCAAGACGATCAAGAAACAAGGTAAATATCAATGATCAAAGTATTACGGAGCGAGGCTGAACCATTTAACTAATATATCTATTTTTTTTACCTATTTTTGCAGATGTGCGACAGACGGTGAATGCATATTTGGAAGACTCCAAGGTCGTTTTAAAGAACACAGACAACAGAACACTTGAACTTGCACTCAGAGTCTTTGTTAATCTCCAACAGACGCCTGCCAGCGATCCTCGCCCTTTGTCCAGCGTCTCGTCCTACAGTGAGCTTTACAAACGACTCAAGGATCTTTGTGCCATATACCAGGAGAACAAGGATTTTCGCGCACAACTGCAACCAAGGTATGCTATATTTCTGCTCAATATCGCACGGCATTTAGGACTTGGCGTCGGCAATCGTCTCATAGCTCATCTTACTTATTGTTTTGATGGCAATAATACTTGCAAGGATCAGATCATCCGCCTCCGCTCCTTGCAGTCTTTCATTCGATATAGGACAGTTGAGTCTCCAGCTATGTTGAAGCCTGATCTTGGGTCGCGCTTACCGCAGTCGCCATCACCGCAACCATCCTCAGCACAACCACAACAACCTGCACCGAATCTGCAGAATAATCCTCCGACCACATTACCGTCTCAGGAGTCAAACGGTCACCCGCCGCTTCCAAGGATGCAACTCCCACGAAATCGCCATCGTTACTCATTCAAGACGAGGACAGGGACAACAAACCCCCATCTCCCAGTCAAGATGAAGCTCTACAAGTTCAAGTCTTACAAGGAGTCTGAAGCAAAAGACGAGCTTGAGCCCTCCAGCGACGAGCCCAAGCCCAAGCCCAAACTCAAAACGTTGTCCGATTCGAATGCAGCTACCCGCAAGCTCGCTATTACACGGTTATTGCAATACCAGCGCCCAACATCTACTTTGAACGCCGGTACTCTATCCGCTAACCTCAGACGAGCTCTGACAAACGATGGTACCGTTCAACAGGAAGTTCCTTTGTATCCGAAACGCTGTGCGCGAGGCTGCCAGGATCAAACGACAAGGTCAACGAGTAATTGGAAAGTTTGTCGAGCATGTGAACAAGCATAGACCGGGTCTCAACGATCGTCGATTCATGAATTGTCTTTGTCCTCGAGTCTCCATGAAGGACGCGAAAAAGCTGGATGATGGTTGTGCCCCAGAGGACGACGATGAGGATGGTAGTGACATGGACCAGAAATCCAAGGATGGCAAAGGCTCTGAGCAGTTCCTGTTCCTCCAGAGCTTTCTGGTATACCTCTACTCTGGGAACTACTCACGAAAAAGTGGTACCGGTCAGAAGATCAACGATTTCATTGATCGCCTCAAGGATCTCGGACTGTACGCTCCACCACGTCCTCAGGCCGCTCTCAACGAGACAACTCCCTTCTCACCAACAGAGTTACTCCTATCGGTGGCGTTGCAGCTCAAGGTCGAACTCAAAAAAATGTACCGTAATGGGACCTGTGAGCTGCATAATAAGGTATGGGTTGAGGGCACTACTGGTCATCTTAATTTAGCGCGTCTATTCGAATTTGAACTGAGGCGGATTCGATTCGATTCGATTCGATTAATTTGAATAGTTGCGCTATTCGTTACTGTCATTACTGTCACTATCCATTGACGTTCCCTTGCGATATAGAAGATCATCGTCAAACAAGCCTTTCGGCTCCTCGAAGAAAACAAATTCCGTTGGCTACCCGCACAAAAGCTGAATATATTCAAATCCGCAGTGCACGAGATGTCCAAAATGCTGCCATCGAGGACGTTTTCCTACAGAAATGTGCATTATCTGCGATTTCTGTTCACCACAGCGAGGTTTCGTCGACTGTCATGCTGCTAAGGAGTATAACAAGGAGAACCAGGGCCCAGTCTCAGTAAATTTTATTAGGCGAGCACTCCATGATATAGGAATGAGAGCAAAAAAGTTCATCAAGAAGCCCATGCTCAAACCTCATCACAAGAAAGCACATTTAGAATTCATCAAGAAGCACCAACGTTTCACAGGAGATGACTGAGAACGCGCAATTTGGCCCGACAGGTCCAACATCAACAGAATATCTTCCGATGGGCTGAAGTACGCACGTATGAACTCATGAAAAGATCCTAAGGTCAAGGCGAGCGATATCGGACCAAGGCTAATCAGGTCTACGGTTAAGCATGGAGGCGGGGCATCATGGTTTGGAGCTGCATGACATGGTATGTGTCACGGTCAGACAAGGCAAACAAATGTGTGTATCTGTATGTGTGGAGTAGAGGATCAAGTTAAAGGCTTTTTTTTTTATTTTTTTATTAACATAAATTCCTATGAGCACGAGACGCATGGTCTGCAAAGGCCTTGAAGCCATAGATGCCTTCCATGCACGACAGAGCCGCATCTCCTACCAACCATGTTGGCTTGAGGCGTCAAATTCATAACCCATGTCGCATAGCTAGCCTAACCTAACTCCTGCGTGATCTGTTGCGCGATACACGTCTCCTAATCCAGATCCAATGTTAATAAAGTTGTTTTTAAACCGAATAAACCCTCCATTATGTCCAACTTCCCCCGCCCCAAACAATGCTGCGGCACCCTATAATCCGCGGTCCGTCTACCTTCCTGGATCTCCGCTGCAAGTAACCGTCTCCCTTTCAAATCAGAGAAATCACCAACACTACGTTGGTGTCCCCGATCACCGTTGCGTCCTCCGGCGCGTTTGCTCATGGTGATTCCAACTGACTTTTCCCAGGCGACAGTGCCCTCGCATCGTTTGTTCCATATCTTGGTCCTGCCAAATTCTTCGATCCTGCTCACGAACTTTGTCACCATGATCGTCGCAATCCACTTGGTGGTGGTAAATAGCTGCTTCCAGGTCTCAATGAGTCTCATTGGCACCAAACCTCGGTATAACTCCTTGACCTCCCAATCTGCCTCACTCTCCGGCTCCTCTCCTTCCGCAACCCGATATGCCCCTCGTCTTTCCGCCGTCCCCTGAATCCACTACATTGACTCCCAGATAGCCTTCGTTCCTGTTGCCGAGAAGTTGGGACAAGTCGCAGTGAAGGGCTTGTCCTTCCGTTCGGCCTCCTCTCTCTCCTGTTCCCATTTTCGCACTGCCTGTCTCCATGCGCGATATCCATTCGACTTCACCTCCTCCACCGCATCCCTCCACTCTTGCTGCTGGTCGCATAAGGTAGCTGAACAACGCCAAAGATGATCGTTCGTCTCTGGTTCCCTCTCACACCTACGACATATGTCCGTTTGGTAGGTATCTGGATGTCGTTTCTTCATCGCCTGCAATGTCGGCAAATCTCCATGCAACTTCTTGATCCTGTGCGAACGTAAACGACAGTCTTCCAGACTAGTGTATAAGCGCTTTGGCGGGTTGTTATCGTGTAGGATCCGCAGCGTGGGCGCCCATGCTACCGACCGCCAATCCTTGATGTAGGTCCTCGTTCGATGCTGCAATGTCCGCTGATAATGGTGCCGTACCGCGGACTGCAGCTTCAGTATCCTTCTCAAGTCCAGGTCTGCACTGTGTGTTGCAAACTGTGCGTAGCATTTCAAATCACAGTGTTGCGTTGCGTCTAGCCTCCATAGTCCTGTATCGATCCCATGTGCTGCCTTGGCAACAGTGTCCGCAGCCTCGTTGCCACGGTGTCCAGCATGTCCTCGTACCCAATGCACAGATATACCTTGCCCTTGTTGCAAGAAGGCATAATGTACCATCGCCCACCACTGTGCATCTGCAGATCTCAAACGCTGCCTTGCTGTTGCTGAATCCCGCTGCTGCACCAACTCCTTGAAATTATTTACAACTGTGAGATTGTCGATGTAGATGTCGACGTTCTCTTCCCTTGGGCTGATAAGAATTGTTGCCAAGAGCCCACACATCTCTGCGATTGTTGACGATGCGTATCCACCGACCCGTCCACTGAACGCCGTTGTGTAGGGACCACCATCCACGGAAACGACAACTCCAAATGCTGCACTGACCTGCTCCGTGCCGTTGTGAATCATTGACCCATCCGAGCAGAAGTGAAGCCTTTGATGCGTTTGCAAACGTCCTCTAGCTGCCCGAATTTGCTGGATTGTTGGTACCTGGAACGCCAACCCAAATAAATCTCGCTCAATTTCATCTGATACTGCCGGCAATGGTTGGCGAACAGGTGTCGTCATATTGTCCACCGCCTTGTGCGCATCCTCATGCAAGTGGTTTCTACACGCCTCTGAATCCCCATTCATATATCTACGATATAAATGGCGTCGTCTTCGTCGTTCTTCTCTGTATCGAGCTCGCCTCTCGATGTCCCGCAGGCGCCGTTGCTCCTCCTGCTGTCGCTTCTCCTGCTGTCGCTCCTCTTTCAGTTGCCGCTGTCGGTCACGCTCTTGCTGTTCTGTCCGCCGCCGCTCCTCTTCCAATTGTCGCTGTTGTTCCCGCTTTTGCTGTTCTGCCTGCTGCATTTGTTGCCGAAGGTGCCTCTGTACTGCTTTCAGTTGTGCCCGCTTCTGTTTAATCCATTGTTGATCGAGTCTGTGCTCTTCTCTGTCGAAAGCACGGTCCAAGTCGTCTTGATCACGCAGTCGATTGCCTGTCATTTTTACCATAGCACGTCGAATGTATTCCTGCTTCCTTACGCTACGCTGGCTGAGCGTCTCTTGGACTCGCGGTGTGAAGAGCGCAGTGTCCGGATCCAAGTTGAGAATTTCCTGAGACGACAGCAAACCGTTGTTCTGCTCCCCATTGTCTTCCTCCAGTGGTGGTTGATCCATCGGTTGCTCTGCATTGTTATCTCCTCTGCCTTCAGACCTTTCCTCCTCACTCGCAGCTTCGTCATACACGCTGTCATCGTCGGTGTTCCGTCCAGACCCCAAATTGGGACTGTACTGGGAGTGAACCTTAATATTTAGGCCACTTCCATTTTTATTCATGAGACTATTAAGCTATCTAATACTCCAAGCCCCAGGTCGGGGCTATAAAAACCCCTACCGGGAGCATAATAAATAACAACGCTCTTTGGTCTCCTTGACTCACACTGAAATACATAAAACATCACAGAAATCGCACGAGGATTTGCGAGTGTTGGTCTTTTTTCAACAGATCAGATCATGGATGAAGGATTGGAGGTGCGGTCGTGGTCCTTCCTTCGCAAGCAGCAACGAGTCAAAGGGCCATCCAGACAATGGTTCCATGATTTCCAGTCCTGGATCACAGGCGACGATCACCGGCGTAGCTTCATCAGCCAGTGGATTGCAGCAGAACGATGCAGGATAGGCGAATGCGCACACGACTGCCCTCGCTGTGTTGACCAAGTTGTACCCCCGCCACAACAAGAAATCCTGCGAGAGGTGATAGGGCCCCTCACGGAGACCGAGGACAGACAAGCGAGGCGTACTGCTGAGGATGCTTTGCATACGTACAATATCGCGGTCCGACTCAAGGAATATAGACAGCGACAGCGACGTGAAAAATATAATGGCATGGATGAGGACCAGAAGGTACATGAAATGGAAAAAGCAGCACTCAAGGACATGGATTCACAGCCAACTACCATTCAGGATGCGGCAGCGCTCGCGTCCTTGGCTCCGCTAGCACAAATGATCGATTTCCCGTGGGTTGATATTGACCAGGAGACATGGCAAACGATCCGTGAGACTCGATGGAGGATCCCGCCTGGGCTGGAGGCAATTGTCCTTTATTCGGATGGATCAGTGAAGAACGCTGGCTCGGACACAGTCAGCCAATCGTTCGGCAGTGTCTATAGATGCGTTGACGGCTCATTTCAGACGGCTATCTGTGGTACAACGACGGATTACGCATCATCCACCAAAGCAGAACTGGTGAGTCTGCTCGCGACAATTCTGTGCTGTCCCCGGGATCGCAACGCCATTATTCATATCGACAATAGAGCAGTGGTCCAACAGTTTGCGGCGTTAGTTAAGAATCGACATACAGCTACTCCACGACGACGGTTGAGAGCAGCATATGCCAACTGGTGGGCCGTGATCTACGAGGCGTACGTGCAGCAGGACAGCAAAGTAGATGTTCAGTGGGTTAAAGGACACAATGGCGATACTGGAAATGAGGCCGCTGACGAATTGGCGGACAAGACACACGACAGCGGGCGACGGCCTTGGCAACTGAACACACAGTATTTCACGAGCATGAAGACACATACGACCTTCTGTGGTCAGCCAGCGGAGGACGACATTCGCCAATTGATCAAGCATCAGTCTGCAGCCAGAGACCATCATGCATGGACTTGTCAACGATGAATGAAACAATTTATTCAGCAGTGGGAAGAAGTGGAGTGGCGATCCAGCCTTGCTATAATACATGAGAAAAATCCGCCAGGGGGTTTTTTCACCAGCCTTGCGGATTGCAACCATCGGTCCCACAGGATCAAGAAAATCCATGGTATGCTGCCAACCATGCAGTACATGCACAGGTGGAAGCCGAATCTGTATACCACAGACAGATGCCAAGTGTGCCTTACCATGGTGGAGGATGCCCAGCACCTCTGGGTCTGCAGAGTCACACAGAACAGACGACAGGAAGAATGGAGAAAGACACTTGATGGGGTTCTAAGTCTTGGACGCACCTTGGTAGATAAGGCGAGGAAAAAGTGGTTGTGCGACATGGAGGAGGCAATCAAGGATGGTCGACAATTCACACGCACCGAACCGAGTTTTACCCCGTGCGAGTTAGACACCCTTTGGTGGAGTCTGCGTGATATCCGGGGAGTGGAAACGATGGTGGATACGCGGGATGATGACTGGATAAAGCTGCTGGAGGAGCGGCGAGACAGGGACAATGGTGGCGAGGACAGAGAGAATGTCCACGAGGAAGAAGGAGAAGGAGTGGGCAGTCAAGAAAACGTACAGCAGGCAGCACCGCCTACCAGGCTATGGACAACGACAGACATATATCACGGGCTCGTACCAAAGTTCCTGACAACAGATTGGGCGCTACTCTTGAAGACGTCGAAGAGCATCGCGGCTTACCTGGTTGGACGTTTTGTAGAACGAGTTGAGGCTTTTGGCCGAGAGGAGTTATGGAAGGAGCGATGTAGTGCCACAGTGGCATGGGAAAAGTCCGAGGGCATATGCACGAGGATGAAGAAAGCCGGGGTCCAGGTAGGAGGTGAGACCCAGGGCTTTGTGAGACAACAGCTCCAAGAGGAGGTTACGACAGCGGCGAGGAGGAGAGCAGACAGCCGCTTGGTGGACCATCTTCAGGTAAGGTGGTGTTGAACGAGATGGAGAGAGGAAGGAGGATAAAATTCATATCGGCCCGTGATCTTGACTAGGAGAGGACCCATCGGACCCGACAGGTTGCGTAGCGGTTTTGGGCCCCGGCTCAAGTATTAGAAACCATACGACTCAGAATGTGCACCATAGGTATTTGGTTCCTCATTTTACATTAGTTTAGTGGGTGCCTCTTGATAGCTATCTTTAGGTAACTATCGGCCGGCTGACAGTCCAAGCCCACTCGACCACCTGCTATACACTGCTGATGTGGACATCAAGCGACAGGTGGTAACTTTAGACTCGGTATCATCTGCGTCTGCAAATGCTCGGGTAGCGTACACTATATGTATAGAAGTACGCCCTATAGAAAGCGGAAGCAATTAGCAATTTGCCCTTATGAATTAATGGAGAAAATGATAGTAGCCAGTTCTTTCTGGCTTAAATCGCCATGTCAATCCTTTCAGTTTTTCGTACGCTTTTCTCCATGCCGTAACGCATACCTGCGATGTATAGCTACACACTGAATAAAGAAGAATCATTCCTTTCTAACAGCCCAGCAACTTTGATCATAAGGGAATTTTTATTTTAAACATCGATTTTATTCGTATCTGGTTCTCCATTACCAATCCTCAACTTTCAGAAAGTATGGTGCGCTTTGAACATTCACGGCCATCTCGTTGCGTATCGCAAAGATTCCAGAAATACCATCTACACTAAGCCAAGAACACTCAGTCTCATTCAAAGAGCTGTAGTCAGCCTGAGATATGCATCTTCATAACATATGTTCCACTATGCTTTTGAATTGTTTGAAACCCAAGACCGACCTACCCGTTGCATCTAAATTTTTGCACATTGTACATTGATCACTTCTCAAATTGCTCAAATGCTTCTTCCTTCATGGTATACAATCGTTGACATCTACAGCATTTCATGCTAGGCCTTTATAGATGCGTTCAGAAATGAACAGCAAACATCATATACATATATAGGGTTGGCGCGTTCATGATCGCGTTCTGAACGCCTACATCGCGAATGGAAAATTCATCAGCTGCTTCAGCTTTACTCTAGTCATGAATCGCACTCTGCGCCTCGGTGGGCTCCATGGTGATAGACAAAAAGTCCAGGAAGGGAGCCGGGGGACGGAGTGGACGTATTGGAGGTATTGAGAGGTGAATTCCGTTTTAATGTACGAATGTATAGAATTGTGAATCATATTGAAGTCTTCTGGCGAGGACTCTAATTTGTCCTCCCTGCTTGTCCTGGTTCGAGGTTGGAAGAATCAGCAATCAAGTGTGTGACAGCTGAAAAGCCATGCATGCCAACCTTACCTTTTAGCGACAAAAATGAATTCTAGTTGTGCTAGACGAATAAACAATGTCTTGACAGAGGCCAACAGAGGCCAGCAGAGGGACAATCATGCGGTTTCCGCATAAACCGTAATCCACTCGCTGATTGTACCTCGCAAAAAAAAAAAAATATTGTCTCTCGCGATGGCAAACGCACAATTTTGCAGAGAAGATGGGGTACAAAAGATGATATGTACAAATATTTATTTTCACAGATATGCGCCATTCTGCTCCCTTTTACTGGCCTTCATTCGCCAAAGCATATTGGCGCTTAAAGCTTGGCCTTAAAGCCAGACTTCTCCTTAGCAGCGTTGAGAACAGAGTCAAGCTTGGTAGCCATCATGATTGCGCCCTTGACTTTGATCTTGCCGGACATGAACAGCTTCTGGCCGTTGGCCTTGCCTTCGGCAAGAGCAATAAAGTCGTCATCAGCAATGTCGATGGTGATGTCGGGCTTGAGGCCATTGACAGTTCCTTTGTGCATGGCACCGTTGCCCGTCTTCAAGTCAAAGGTCCAGGTAGCTAAAGAAAAGATATCCATTTACCTTAGCTGCAGTCCTAGTTATCACAGAAAACATGAATAATATGCTAGAGAGCATACCAACTTTCCCCTCCTTGTTCTTGACGTTGAATTGAAAGACACCTTTGACCTTCTTGACCTGCTCCTGGCGTTCAGCCTCAGAGAGAGCCTTGAGATGCTCATCGATCTGGGTGAGGAGAGCAGAGGACTTGAAACCGTCGACAGCGAGAGCTACGAATCCAGAAGCCATACAAAGAATGCGTGTGAGCTGGATGGATGACGCGAAAGGGAACTGCAAATTGTCCAGCATGCAAGACATTATGCAATAGAATCTCTGCTGATATCCCAATGGCGTGGTTGAGTAGCCGGAAAAAGCGAAGAGTGTATCCTCCAGACCATTCTCGAATCAACTGGTCCTAAGCTGTCTATTGTTATCTGTCGGCTGCTGGCTGTGTCCATTTATGCTCCTTGTTGCTGTCTCGGCTGGTAGTGGCGGTGGGCGCTCATTCCAGAGATGGTTGATGCACGATTGACAAGATGCAAGATGATGCCTCAACTTACACATAGCGTTTACTTGAGTTGAGTAGAATAGAGAGTTAAGAGCAAGCGAGGGAGAGTTAAAGAATTAGAAAGAAGAGAAGAAAGGGAAATGCGTCCTTTCCTCGACCGATTCTTATACCGCCTGTTGAAGCAAGCACTCTCCGCCCCTTTTTCGTATTACGTTTCCTATTCCCGTTGCAGATCATATTCTCTCAACTGCACGTGCTAAAAATGCAGCCCGGGGGACGCGCTCCCCTCAATCCACTACACATAAACGAGGCCCCTTCCGCCGTGTTTCTCATCTGTAGACCACCGATGCCTTCATTCAGCTATGGATGCTATCAATGGTGTCGACAATGAAAGTGCTGCAAACAGACTACTTTATTTCTGGCTCAAAGCATTACTTCTCGAATTGATCGAGCGCAAGTGTGAGCGTCTTGCTACTATTCAGTCCTTGGTCGCGATAGATACCAACAAGCCCCTGTCCTCGCTCATACAGCGAGCTCTTCAACGAAATCACAATGAACTGCAGATTCTCCGATGCATGCTCCTGCAGATAGTGTCCAATTCGAGCCACGTTCATGTTATCAAGAGCTGCATCCACCTCGTCCAGCACAAAGAATGGTGATGGCCGGAAAGAATGGATCGCAAACAGCAGTGCCAGTGCCGCCATTGTCTTCTCGCCTCCAGACAACTGGTCCATGTCCCGGAACCTCTTCATCGGCGGCATCGCATGGTACCGGATTCCATCAAGATACGGCTCCTCAGTACCCTCAAGCGAAAGATATGCCGTGCCTCCCATTGGAAATGCTGTCGATCGCGTCAATGACTTGTAAATCTCGTCAATTTTCTCAGAAATATGTTGAAATGCACGATTGAATCGGCTATAGCGCTCCTGCTTGACCACCCCAAATGCTTCCTTGATCGTCTTAGCACTCCTGCGGGCTGCATTGAATTCCTTGTCCGTCTGCTTTAGTCGCGCCTCCACTCCATCCAGTCGCTCAATCGCCTTCATATTCGGCGCCAACCGATCAATTTCATCCGAAAGCTGTCGTAATCGATCCAAAAATTCATTCTCCATCTGCTCCATCGTGCCCACCTCAGCTTGCTCTCCCGTCGATGATGACCCAGTGCCACCGCTCGAAGGTTGAGACTCTGACTGAGAGCTGGCCAATGACAGTCGATGGATATCGAGACCAACCGTGCCGGTTCCATGGCCTGCACCAGACGACAATGACATGCTGGAGCTGGGCAATGCTTGCTTTTGATCTTCATCCAATTCTGAGAAATCAACTGTGATCTTCCAATCCTGGCTACGACGACCCTGTGATGACCGAGTGGATACGCCTCCCTCCGTGTCAATATCCATGTCCGTGTCATTCGAAGATGGTTGTCGGTAGCCTTCCATATCATCCAAAGGCACATCGTCCAGAGATCCCTTTTCCATTGGCAACTCAATCTGTTCAAGCTTGCATCGTCTAAAGATCGACGATCGCTCAGAGTCTAACTTCTCTACCAACGATTCCTAGAAACATATATATTGCCAAAAAAAAAACATCAATACATCAACACATCACTTTTGTATCCTATCAAGTGAGAAACCCCCCCTGGAACACAGTGTACTACATATTACCTTGGAGCTGATCTCCTTCACCAATGCGTCCACCTGTCTGATAACACGCGCGACCTGTCTCTTCCCAGCATTGACCTGGTCCGTATGCTTCTGGAATACTGACCTGGCCTCGCCCAGTTCCTGTCCCAGTATATCGATCTCCTGCTGGATGTCAGCCTGCTTCGACTGGATTTCATCCCGTTGTCTCTCATATCCGTCTAAGGCTGCCATTTCTGACGCCAGCATGTTTTCCAGTCGCGAGAGTCGCTCCTTTGTTTCATTGCGCTGTGCCGTCTCGAACAAGAGCTGGTTGCGCAACTTTGACAAAATTATTTCGAACTTTGCCCTCCTCTCCGATAGCTCCTGTGAGCGCCTTAACGTCAGCTCCTCATACTCTCGAATGCTGGCCATCCCTACTTTGCGACAGAGTGAGGTAAAGATCTCGTCCTCGATCCGATGAACAATTGACTCGATCATCGCTATCTCCTGTTCTTCCCGCGCAAGCTGACTTGACGACTGTTCTGCCTTGGGTCGCCTTTCCGCAAGCTCTACGTCGGTCAGCTTAATCTCCTCACGAACACCATTGAGTTTTCTCTTGGTCGCACTCAAATCCTCGCGTGAGAAAAGCAGCTTGCTCTCAATACCGGCCAATTCACTCTTGAGTGCTTCCTCGGGCACGCCTCTCTTCTTAGTCTTGGATAATTCATTTAGTTGAGTCAACATGGCATCCCTCCGTTTCTTCAGCTCCTCCACAACCTTCTCCTCCCAACGACGAGTTATCGAGCCGGCCCCACTTTGGCCTCCGGTGATCAAGCCACTTTTGTGGAAAATGGTACCATCAAGTGCAACAGCCTTGACTTGCTGACCGAGATCGTAACAAACGTGCTTTGCAACCTCCATCGTGTCGCACACCAGAGCATTTCCGCACACATAATGGATCGCACGCTCAACCACTTCGTCGTATTGCACAACGTCAACGGCGAGACGTGAGCCTTTGGCCAACGTTCGCAGGCGATCGTTCAAAGGCTTGATAATGAGCGTGTCCAGAGGGAGGAACGTGGCATGTCCCGACCGCTGCTCACGCAAGAGCTGGATGCACTCAATAGCTGTTCGCTCACGATCAACAACAATGGCATCCATGTGGCGTCCTAGAATGACTGATATCGCAGCGTCGTACTTTCGTTGAGTAGGCTTGCAGAGGTCTGTCACCCGACCGTGGACACCAGGGAAGATACGCTTGAGCATTGCCAATATTTCTTTGAGTCTCTGCTCCTTCTCAGATTCACGCTGGTCCAGCTTTGCCTCCATGAGTTGATTGAGCGTGCTGGTCAGTTTTTCGTTCAATTCCAGCTCTGTCTTCTCGATCCTGAGTCGTTCATTATTAAGGTTTGACAAGTCCTGTTGCACTTTGGCTTGATCCTGTAAGACTTTCGCAATATGGGACTCAACCTTGCGCTGATGATCCAAAAAGCTCGCCTCCTGCTCAGCCAGCCTACTCCTCTTTGTCTCCAGTTCTGTCATGGACTCCTTTAAACGGCTGTTTTCTTCGCGTGTCGTCTTAATATTTCTCTTCATCTGGCCCAGTTGCTGTGTCTGTGCCACCGTTTGCAGTGCAACTTCCTCCTTCCTAAAGGTACACGCAGGTGGGTATGACGTATAAGCAAACAGAATAGCCTGATTCCGATTATAACACATATCGCGAAGGGACGTCCTCACTTACTTAGAGCTGTACAGGGCAAGGTCATCGTTGCCAAGCGTCACTCCCCGTACCTTTTCCTGAGCCTTAGCCTCCAGCTCAAATTTTGTAGCGGCCTTCTCCAGCTGAGCCAGTTCCGCCTCCTGTTGCGCAACGCTCCCCTCTTGGGCCGCATACGTCTCCTTGACTGTTGCCCGGTTGGCCTTGATCGACTTCATCTTCTTGGTGACATGGACTACCTTTTCGTCCAGACCTAGGCTCTCTGGATGCTACTCAAGGACACATGGACAAAATGATAAGTTGATGCTCACTGGCATTATGGGCTTTCATGATTACCTCGCTCAAATGAATATCTTCAGTTCGCGGACGTGCACCTACCAAGTCACTAAGCGCTTTTTCGCGCTTACCGATAGACCTTTCCTTGCGATATGCTTCCCGCTGAGCGACTGCCTGTTCCTTCTTGGCGTTCTTCAATGACTCCTCTAGTTCATCCTATGGGTGGATAATCGCATATACCAGTATTAGTTCCTTGTCTTTCTTCAAACAATCTCATAGAGAGAAAGTATGGTTCTCTGTCCTCAGAACATTACCAGCTCTTTTTGTACGGACTTGAGGGTTGTGTCTTTTGTAGCAATAACATTTTCAGCTTCAGTGATATTGCGCTCAATGTGAAACAGCTTCCAGACAAGGTAGGTCACCAACAAGTTTGTCTAGCATTCAGTGTGACAAGGTCGGTAAAGTCACTCAGAGGAAGCACTCAACAACGACAGAAAGCGCATCACATAGATGTCCACAAACCTTTTCTGCCTGTAGTGTCTCGAAACGTTCAGCTTCGGCCAATTGCTCCTGATATTGTTTGATCTCTGCATTAATTCCCTTCTTCCTGTGAAAGTTAAATGTGGAATTTTCGACAGCGCGCTCCTGCTCCTGTTGAAGTCGGTCGTATTCCTGCTTGAGCTCCAAAGAGCCGCTGATCTGCTCAATGAGTTTGGTAAGATCCTTTGGAGACTGCGACGCAATTGCCTCGATATCGCCCTAAAATATATCCATTAGTAAGTTGATGATATGAGTAACATAGCATAAAGGGAGCATTGCGTCAAAATGATCCATGTGGATGAGATGATAGCTGTTTTACCTGGAACACCAAGAAGTTCCTTGCTTTGACAAGAATATTGATCTCTTGTAGCGCCTTATCATAGTCTGCATAGAGCATGACCTTTCCGTTTATTTTATATTCGCTGATTCCAGCCATATTGACACTATTGGAAAGAGCAAAATGTAACATGTTAGTGTCAGTCAGTCTACTTGTTCTTAAACAGCATAATGGCTATAAATGGAAAGCGCGCTCTGTGTAGGCGTGTGCAGAAGGTACCTCCTGGTAAACCGTGTTTCGGTACCGCCGTCGTTTTGATATACAGCCATAACCCAGGCCTTCCTGGGATCGGAGTCATTGCCGGGCTGCTGCCGAGACGACCCGTTAATCCTACCTCTATTGCTTTCGTCACTTTCATCGACACGGTCGCGATAGATAAGCTCCCGAAGCTGGCTGGAGCGCAGTTGAGCCGATTTGACTCCAAGAACAAACGATATAGCATCCATTAAATTGGATTTGCCTATAGGACGCATACTGTGTAGGTCAGTAAAATTGGTGGCAAATACATTTAAATAAAAATACTGGCTTGCCTTTTGCTATCCATACTGGATGCATTATACAAACAATGACAGGCGCGCCATGGAATTAAGAACAATCAGTAGCAGTCGAATAAAAGAATATGGCCTGGTGGGCCTTCGTTACCTGCACCATTGGGACCTATAACACAAGTGAAGTCATTAAAGAGTTCGATGATTTGATGGCCCTTGTAAGACTTGAAATTCTCGAGTTCTATGCGATGTAGACGCCCCATCGTGCCTGGCGCGTACACGATGTTAGTACTTTTGCTGTGAAAGTGCGGCGGGCTGCTGAAATTGAGAGGGAAGTAGGGATGAAGGGAAGTGGAGAAGGGCAGTAAAAAAATGGTGGCAAAAGTATTCAGGCCACAACAAACAAAGGAAACGCGTTTCCGAAGGCGCGTTTACGATCATCTCATTTATATCTTAAGGGTCGATCAAGGACTGCGGAGGCAAGTAAATAATAAACAACCGCGATTTTTGTTTCTCCAGCACTCTAGCACTTCATCACCAAAGAACAGACCAGTATATCGCTTAAGACAGCATGGTCGAAATCAACACCATCAAGAACAAGCTCAAAAGGGAGGAGCTTTTTCAGAAGCAAAAGGCTGCCAAGGCAAAGCAAAAGAGGGACCGTCGTACAGCACTGCAAAAGGAGGAGGCATCCAATCCTGAGAAGAAGGAGGTATGCTGCATCGTTTGATATTTGCTGTCTGCGTTGATCAGAGGAGACACTGGTTATTTTTCGCACCAACTGTAACAGTTGTACCCATAACCAAAACCAAACATCATACTTTCAATTATACTTCACTGGATGACATAGAAACGTCTGGCCGAGAATGTCCCTAATACACTCGAAAATACTAGAGAATTTGATGAGACCATTGTCGAGGAGGACGCAGAGGTAGCTGCCGACGAAGCAACGGACGAGTTTTCACGGTACTTCCAGAACGGAGTTCCACCGAAGCTTTTAATTACTACTAGCAAGGGACCAAGCGCTGTAAGTCCAAGCCCTTTAACTTCACACCTCAATTGCAATTGATCCGACCTTGGTTTTGAACATGCGACTCAAGATCATCCCTTTCACTTCATGATTGTCTCTGCAACTGCCACTAGTCCGTGTATGAGTTCGCCACAGAACTCATCGATATATTCCCCAACAGCCATTTTGTGAAACGCAAACCCCAATTTGAGATGAAGCACATCATCGAGTTTTCAAAAAACCGCGACTTCACTGATATCATGGTCATCAATGAAGACAGGAAAGAGCCTAGTACGTGCAAATGTTCCAGGAGAGATGTATAGTGTAAGGAATGTCGCACGCATAATACGAGAAGGATGTGCCGACGACCTAACGCGGCAATCTTGTTTATTCGTTCATGTAGATGCATTGACGCTGATTCACTTACCTGATGGACCCACCGCACATTTTAAGCTGAGCTCAATCTCGCTTAGCAAGGATATTGAGGGACATGGGCGCACTTCCTCGCACAAACCGGAACTGATTCTCAACAACTTTAGCACCCGTCTAGGCCACACAATCGGAAGGATGTTCACCGCGCTCTTCCCTCATGTACCAGAGTTCCAGGGACGGCAGGTCGCCACACTGCACAACCAGCGCGACTTTATCTTTTTCCGGAGACATCGGTGAGAGAAACCAACTTACTGTTGCTTTTGGATTGTCTGCATGCATTTGTCATGGCCACAAAACTAACCATTGCTTTGGTTCAATGTGGTTTTATACGCATGCAGATATGTCTTCAAAAACGCGAAGCGTGTCAATTTGCAAGAGCTGGGTCCACGGTTCACACTGAAGCTGAAGTGGCTTCAGAAGGGCACATTCGATCGCAAGGGAGAACACGAGTGGATGTTCAAGCCCGAGATGGAGACGAGCCGCCGCAGATTCTTCCTCTAGGCAGTCGAAGGCTACGACACGAAATCGACTACCATTTCGGCGTAGTTCGGTCATGCAGGCCGGACATTTATCTTTCCACAAACATTATCATAATCATCACCATCATCGTCGTAATTACCGCTCTCTTTCGCTTTTGCATATTCTCAGCATACGTACTTGTACTATATCTCAAATATAGCTTTTCTCTCAGTTCTATTTATCTGTCCCCTGCCTGAGTTGTTTATCCATAGTATGGGGGAGACGCATGCGCACTCAATTTCGCCACGCACCCAATATGTCGACCGTGGGGCAGCTACACCTCCGTAGCCCAAAGGCTCTACTGGTCTTGTCTCATGCAATTTATTCTTTTCCTTTTCAGTCGAACATAATACAGCTTCACCTTGCATCTCTTCAATCTTTTCATGCATCGTTGAATTCCCTGCATCTTGACCTGATTCCACTCTTATTCCTCTCACACCTGCGTGTGACAGCCGCACTTTGTAGCGCAACAGTCCATACTGCACACATCCTTCGTTTTCTTTGACCCTATCTCTGGCAAGACTGATAGAACGCTATGACGAAAAGGCTGCTTGCCATTGCCGATACCAATGCCGATACCTCTATGGTTCTCGCTACTGATAACAAGGCGGATGCTGGGTCGCTGGAGAACGACTATGACGAGCTTGTCGACGAGGACTGGCTGGACATGGATAATTTGCCAACTTCAGCCCAACTGACATTACTCGATAAGACTCCTCTATCTATTCCCGCCGATGATGACCACCAAGTACCCTCGTTGCCCCTCTCTGCCGGAGCCAGGCAGCAGTCTGTAGGGAGCTCTGCAAGCGCAGTAACAGGTGCACCTGCAACCGTTTCCCCTGCAACCGTGGGTTTGTCAGGAATAGAACTACATGACCTTCAGCTACAGCTACAGGAGCACCTTCCAGGATCAACTAGTCCCTCGCCATCCTCGCATGACTCTGAGTATTCTCTACTCGACCCTTCAACAGAGCAAAGTCGAAAGAATTCCATGTCGAGCATCACAGGCTTCCATGCGCTCACCCCCACGAGCCCTTCGACGAGCGTCGGTGACGATTTTTCTGGGATCGAGTCGGCCTCCGTAGGGTCATTTAATAATGGAGTACCCAGCTCTGTTTCTTCCGATAGAGAGAGCCCTTCGGAGGATGACAACGAAGACGTGCACGTCGTAGATGATACGTCTGACAAGAGTGACAATGGAGGGTTACAGAACAGCCTGGATCTAGAGCCCATAAGCGGCGCGGATTATACGGTAGAGACGGCACCGGTAACCTTGACCTTCTCTGCTCTGGCCTCTCCGCCCGCCAGTACGCCAGCTCGACGGGCTATGTACAGAACCACTGTGGAGAATGCAGCCAGCGATAGCGAGGACGAGCGGGGGTTACGCAGCCTGCCTTCGGGAATGCGACATAGAGGATTTCGCATACAACAGGGCAACCCAGAGGATCTTCGACAGCCGTTTTTTAACGCGTCAGCAGCGATACCGACCATGCCTGGAGCATTCACTGCGGAAATGGACGCAGAGATTCCCCAACGTGGACAACCTACGACGCCAGCAGTAACAGCAACAGCGACGAACGACCAACCTGTAGAAGAACGACAATGCAGGATCTGCCTTGGTGGAGTTGACGAGGAGGACACATTAGGACGATTAATTTCGCCTTGTCTGTGCAAGGGATCTATGAAATATGTCCACGTTGAGTGGTGAGTGCGCACTTCTGAGATATAGACATGCATTGTCCCTTTAGCACCAATTGCTGGCCTACTGTTGAACTGATCACCGTGTTATTGATCTTTTTTTCTCCTGCAGTCTGAATGCCTGGAGAGCTAGGAGCCCCAAGCCTGAGAGCCATTACAAGTGCGACACCTGCAAATATTCTTTCTCGTTCCGTCGAACGAGCTTTGCTCGATATTTAGCACATCCCCTAACTGTCTTTGTACTGACCATGGCGGTGTTTGCTGCTGCTGTTTTTGCTGCTGGATTCGCCATGAAATTGTTCTTCTACCTGATGATGGATGAACCTCAAGAATTCATCTATCCTGCCGATCTGTAAGTTTTAGACAGTGGACAGAATACGATCGAAAGACTTTATAGGATTGATCCTTATCAGAGCTCATTCTTTCATTATTATTGTTAGTGATGATTATGACGATGTTGAGCTCTTGCGACTGAAAGAGAGCGTAGTTATCTTCAGGACACCGGATAGTCTGCGGGCTGTTTTCCGGATTGACAAGAGCCATATGGTTTTTGGATCGTTCTTTGTCAGTATAATTGGATTCCTACAGCTTCTGCTCTCGGCCCTCTGGATGGGTGGGGGCGGCGGAGTATTCAGGATCGGCGGGTTCGGACTCGGAGGTGGAAGACGGAGAGGTGCCCGTGGCGAGCGCCAAAGAGAGGCCGGGATCGGAGGCATGTTGATGGTCATGATTTTGGTGTTTGGACTGTTCAAGTCTTTGTACATGACCTACCAGTTTGTGCATCGTGTATCGCGACGCGTGCTGGCCAAGGCTGAGATGATGGTGTTGGAAGTGCAGTAACGGTCAATAACTCTTCGCGCTCTTGCATAATAAAAATGTTGCTTTGTTATAGACCGGTCTCCATATTTGCTCATTCACGGTCTATTTCAACGCTGTGAGAGCCAAGGATTTTTAGGGACACGACCTACGCTGTGCACGTACATGGATGCACCCACACGTCCTCATGCCTTTCGACAAACTTCAATGCACTGCGTCTCCATCGTCCACCATCAGCTCATCAATCCGTGCGGAAACATCCAGCTCCGAGTTCGACATAAAGGAACGAGCACCAGCGGCAAGTGTATCGGCCATGGGGATGACGACCATAGCCTCAGCGCCCACAAGAGCAAGGAAGTTAAGACCCCCGCTTCCTTTTCGATATCCAGCAGCAGGTACATCAGGATCAGAACATGATGCCACCATAGTCCGGATGATCGACAATGGCCATTCCTGGGCCGAAATCGAAGAAATTGCAGGAGAGGGAGCCTTTGATCGATATTACCACTCCTTGGATCCTGACCTTGAATCGTACTGGAGCATCGAGGCCATCGCCAAGCTGGACAGCATTGTTCAGGGCTTTCTCGCAGTAGCACCAATAACCACGCAAGCTGGAGATGACAGTGTCGATGTAGGTGAGGGGCTGTCTTGGGAAAAGATATCAGACGATATAGGATCAACAATGCCCGGTATCTGCATGTATGTCTGGACTACATTTGGAAATGGAAGACCGCTCTCAGAGGAGGAAAAAACTATTGAAGCAGAGCAAGAGCGGAAACGCATTGCGGAAAACGAGATGGAACAGGCGCAGTTAGCTGAGGCTAAGAAAAGGGCACGGCTTGAAGAGGAAGCTGAGAAGGGAAGGTCGCGATTGACAGAGGTCGGGAAACATAAGATATGGCTGGCAGAGGAAGCAGAAAAGGAAAAGTCACGGCAAGCAGCGGAGGCAGAGAAAGAGAAGGCGCGCTTGGCAAAGAAGAAGGCAAGGCAGAAGTCACGGCTAGCAAAGGTACAGGAGGCAGAGATGAAACGGAAAGCGGCATTACGAAGGGCAAGGCTCGTGACCAGCGACGACGACGAGGATGATGAGGACGACGAAGGAATCGGTGTCTCTTCAGCCATTGAGTATCGCGTGAATAATGCCTCCACTACTCTGGGGTCCTCGAGAGGCCTCTCTCTCCGGCTGCGTAACAAGCACCCTTCAACTTCATGGACGATGCATCATCACAATAAGGATTTTACCCATCCAACTCTCGCGGATCTCATACCGACAAAGTATCCAAGGACGCAGACAACTGAGACCATAGCCAGCGTGGGAAAGGCGAGAGCGTTAACGATGGGGGATATCGACGACAGCCGCCTATGGCGGACTCGTAGCCGGGCGCAAATGCAGAAGCAGATTGATGCGAGAGCTCTAATGGAGGGCCTTGCGCGGAAACAGCAGGTGGAGGCAGATCAGCGGCAACGTGAGCTCGAAAAAATGCTTGATGGTCAGAAGGCACTCAAGGTTGCGAGTGAGAGGAGGAGGCAGGAATCCAGACTGTGCCCAATATCTAGCTTATCGATGGGTACTCAACTGACGACTACGGATCTCGAGAACCAGGACACCCAAGCGCCCGGTAACCATCTTGGATCGCAAACTCATAAGCGGCAGAGGATTCTCTCTGGACAGAAGAATCATAGATGGCTACAGAGATACTCAACTCCCCCGATCGCAGTAGCTCCATTGGTTGTCGACCTCACAAAGGATACAAAGGACGCGGAATCAGGCCACAATACCGTTCCAAGCTATGCTCAGCAGATATCATTCCCCCTGAGGCCTTTCTGGGCGCCTTCCCCAAACACAAACCCATACTACGATGTCTTGACATGGACGGCTGAGGACATCAAGAAGATGTGGAGCAGTTGGCTGCAGGTTGGCGACAACTGGGACCTAATTTCTAAGCATGCGCTTCAAGGAAGACACTCTCCGCATGCATGTCAAGCCTTTGTCATGGGAAGGGGCTTTGTCTGACGCCCCGTCAACAAATGTGTGCTGGCAGGATTTTAACTTAAAATATAGATTGATGGGCCAGTTATATCCATGTATTATAAGATAGAATATAACGATTGGCTATTGCTACGAGAACTATGCTGCACCATGCCTCACTGTCTGATATGCACACTCGGCCCGCCTTCTAGGAATGTCCAGATCATAGTTCTCCTGCAAATAGTCAATGATAGAGGATACTGTCATCAACGAATTGAACGTTCTTTTCTCTAATAAATCTCGGGAAGATGTTATTGCTTAAGGTAAGAATCTAGAGCAAGGAGGCCATGTTATAATCCGCAAGCCAGGAAACCAGAGCAGAGCCGTAAACCATGAGTGACTTACCGGCGTTACTCATGCTCCTCTCAAACATGTACATCAGATGGTGGTGAAAGATGAATGCGTTTGTTCCATAGGATAGGGCTAGGTCCACATAATCTTCGATGCATTCCCAAGGTGTAGTTGTATGGCCTGCAAACAAAGCAGGATTCTCTAGAATGCCTCTCGCAGCCATGGTGCCTGTTGTAGTATCGGATCAAATTATCTCTTGTCAACGATAGATTCAAGTCCGTAAATACAATATATACATTATTACTTTTTCGTTTATTACCATCGACGCCGGTTGCCTCGACAATCATGTTAGCATCGTCTATTGAGAAAACATCTCCGTTTGCCAGAACAGGCACTGTGGAGACTTCTTTTACGAGCTTCATGCCCTCTATACTGACCGGCTCTGTCGATTTTTGTCTCCGCGTCCTTCCATGAACGGTGATGAAATCTACTCCAACCGACAATGCTCTCTTCACAAATTCCTCCGTTTCCCTATCAATCATCAAGAACAGAGGCGAAGAAAGATTACCTTGAACAGCTCTTGACCCATTGTCATCGGCAGTTGAATAATAATGCCTTTACCTGAGATCCTTATGAATACGAATCTTGATCGAACATGGTACATCGATTCGAGCCTTGGTCATGCGGATCATATCGCGCACCGTTTCCGGGTCCGACATCAGGTGCGAACCAATCTTTTCGTTGACAGCCCATTTTTGCGGACAACCGCAATTGATGTCGATGCCTGATACATAGGGCGCTACTAATTCTGCAGCATTGGCCAGGTCAACGCTGGTTGAGGCTGCAAATTGGATCACAACAGGATCGTCCAGTAAGTTGGTGGAGAACTCGCATTCGCGGGAGTAGTTACTGGCAGAGAAGACGTCTGCAAGAATCATGGGCGTGTACACGATATCGCAGTTGTACCTGAGCAGCAATTGGTATTAGTGTAGGTTCGAATGTCCCATAGTGCAGCAGTCGTTTGATATCACCAATAACAGTACCTCCGCACAAGCTCTCGGAAGGGTAGCTTGCTGTAACGGACCATGGGGGCACAGACGTTCAGGGGCCTGGCCCTGGTGGAAAAGATCTGAAGAATGTCCTTTCTCGGGAGGGATCTCTGCGGGGTGTTCTCAAGCGACATGGCGGAATGTGTGCGATGTGTGCGATGTGTGCGATGTGTGAGGGATGGAGTGGAACAAAAAAAAACGACGCCACCAATTTGAGCTGAGTCGGTGTTGCGCTTGGATGGAGTAAGGAAACTCCCAATCTGAATGCTCGAATAATTTGTGTCCCACACTGAATACAACAGTCTAACCCACAACTACGCACACTGTAGCAAGTGATCAGCACAACGGTCTTCTTGTTCAACTGGAACCATAATTCATTATTGATATATCTAAGCAAAAGGGTACTTGTAGCAAGTGATCAGCACAACGGCCTTCTTGTTCAACTGGAACAAGGAACAAAAGACCGCTGGCTTCGATCCTCCTTTTATACAGGCACAACCCCAAAACCTAATATCAAATCCTGCGTACCCTCGGTGGCTGCTGGCCAACATCGGGAACAGGGCTATTGGAAGACGAGGAGGCAGTGCTGAGTAGCAGACTAACAGTGGTTGCCCCTAAAAATTGGCTAACTCCTGTTTATGCCACTGAGCACGCGCATGTTTGTAACACCACCCTCCTCCCCGTCCTCCTCCCCATTGCTCTCAAGAGCCAACGCAAGAAAACAACAATGACACACTTGTCGTTATCATGGTCATGCTCATTGAAATTGTCATTGTCATTCCTCTTTTTTTCTTTTCTCTTTTTTTCGGCCGCCTCCTCGATACGCGCTTAGAAGCACTTCAGATACGTCCTGTGCATCCGATTGACCGCACACTTCACGCTTCATGCATTGCTTTGCAGTTCAGTAGTGTCTGGCAGTCTGACCGTCTCATTAGAAGGAGTACCTGTTTGCCTATCTGCTACCCTCCTCTTCTTTCTTGTTCCTAGTCATAATTTACTTTTTTCTTTCTTCCAGTCAAGATAAGACAAGAAAGACAACAGGACAATACAGCTCACACAGCAATCAGGACTCATAAAAGAACTGGAGACAAAGAACAGGCTCAGGACGACTGCACTCAGGAAGACAAACCAAGTATCAAAGAAACAGCGGCATCACAAAGACTGTAATTGCAACTACGACCGCTGCGGCCCCGATGACCTCAATGGCGTCTTCAAAGCCATTGCCGCCTATCCCTGTATCCGGTGCGGAAAAGGCGCTGCAAGCACAGACATTTGCACAAGCACAGCCTCAGTCGCAGACAGCGGAACAGTCAAAACTGCCGCAATCAGCACATCCAGATACGCCACCAGTCAACACTCTCACAAGCATCTTCTCTTCACTCCTCTCCTCGGCCGCCTTCTCTTCTATGTCAGCTTCAAAAGCTGTCGCTGCTGCTGCAATCCCAAGGCATCCCTCCAGAGCGCCCACGCCAACCCTATCAGAGTCAACAGGAACACCTACATCAACGGCACTCACTGGCGTCGCTTCACTACCACCACCAGGATCAAGAACAGGAACTGATATACCAGCCCCAGCCTCTTCCTCAGCAACGCCAGCAATAGCAACATCAATGGCCATCGCTAAACGACAGCAGCAGGTCATGGTCTCTCTGGACCAACGGTCCTTCCAGCATTTGCGGGCTATCGCTCGCCAGTCTATAGCGAGCTCCTATCTCGAGCCAGAGATCCTCTGGCAGCGGCTTTTCATGGATCTTGTCCACGTCCTTGCCGTGAATGCAGCCAATGCATGGCAACAGATCGAGGCGGCACATAAAGTAGCTCGAGCGGATCAAAACGACGGCACCAATGGCCTGGCAAGCATTGCTACCACGGCAATAGCGTCAGGCATAGTGAAGCCAGACATGAATAAAGAACAAGCGGAGGTCAAAGACAATGGCGAGAACAAGGACAAGGACAAGGACAAGGATGCCAAAAGCAAGCCTGCCTTCAACTACAGTATTCGCCTTGTCAAGAACATCAGCTCTACCCAGGAATGCTCATTCACCGCTGGTCGATTCGAGGGAGAGCCTCTCTTGCTGGAAGAGCAATCTATCACAGAGCGAAGGAGACGTATGTCACCACAGTATGCCGCCATGGTCTCCCTTTGGATTTTCTCGTCAATACGTCTCTACAGCATCTACATCAGAGCTTCTTGTTTACCGATATCTTTGGCATTGTTTATCATTAATAGCGCCTAAGGGAGGGCGACCCATAATTCCTCTTGGAGGTACTATCTCGCTTGCTGCCGGATTGGAGGATTTGCCAAAGGCTGAAAAGATCCTGGAACTCCTGGTCTTTGCACTGTGCTCCTTGCACCTAGAAGCCTACCTCATGCGCGACCACAACGCTCCTAGACCAGACATCTCTGCGGCTCACGAAGCGGACGCCAAGTACAGCAAATCACCCACAAATTCACAACCAACCACTCTCAGCGATTCGAAGCGAGCGTCTAAAGGATCCATGTTCTTTGGATGGTTGTCCCGTGGCACTTTACCCGCGAAGTACAAGAAGGGAACAACACAGCTGGCCCAGGATCTGGATACTGCTTCTGGAAGCGGGTATCTCACCAATGGCTTAGGGCAGAACAACAGGTCAAGCATCGCCAACGACTTTGGAATGGCTGAGGATCTTCAGAGCTACCAGAGCCATCGATTCGCAAAAATTATCCAGCAGGTGGAAAAGGCCATCATATCCGTTTCGCCGGAAATCACCTTCCCTCCGCCCTACCTCTTGCTTCGCCTGCGGGACGAGGAGGTTGTTGGGCCAGACTCAAAGAGGAAGTCATACACGTGGGAAGACGTGGAGTTCGTCGCGAAAAAAATCGGCTTTGGCAATCGCTTGAATCAGGCGAACATCGCTGGCGGCAGTCAGCTCACGCGCTTTGGAACAACGTCGATCAGCGTCCACAATAACAACAAACTGCCAAAGTCAAACCGGCTGCCTGCCGACTCTAGAGCCGGACTGGACCATCTCATGACCAATAGCAACTCGCTTCAGGGGATATTCAACCACCAATCCATTACGTTTTCATACTCGTACTACTGGTCTGCGACGGCTGCGGCGCCATGCAACCCACCCAACTTGATAACGGTCGACTATTACCGTAAGGCAGGGCTCTATGAAGACATGGGTCTCGGTGAGATGATTGAGTACATTTGCAAGCGAGCCAACTCGGATTGTCTCGACAAGACATGTGGCCACAAGCGACTCGAGCACATTTCAACTTATACGCATGGCGAGGCCAGAATCAACATTACGGTGGAGCAGCCCCGAATTGATTCCGCCACAGATTTTGATTTAGAAGAGTTCGCACCCTTTTTAGCCAACAACAGGACGATTGCCGTGTGGACCAGATGCAAGATGTGCAAGGCAAAGACGAAATCGAGAGAGCTATCGCGGCCAGCTCGATTGTATTCCTTTGGAAAATATCTAGAGCTGCTTCTATATGGTCAGCACTTTACGCCCGGTCCGCGGCCTCTTTGCGGCCATGCTCTGAATAAGGATGCTATCGCCCGGTGCTTCTTCTACCGTGAACTTGTGGTGACGTTTGAGTTCGAGAGTATCGATTTGTTTGAGATGCGGATATCAAGACTGCAAGTCCACGAGGACTATCCTGCGATGCCACGATTCAACCCTGGTGACATGGACGACGACAGGCACCATTATTCAACTTCATATTCGTCCACAATAGGGTCCTCTCCGCGCGCCAGCACACTCTCTGTTTCGGTTAACGGCGACTACCTCGCAGAGGCTGAGCAGGCGAATATCCTAGACACCGTTCGACTTGAGATAATGCACTTTTATGAGTCTTGCAAGAAAATTGTCGTTGCCATGGAGGAGCACCTCGGAGAGACCAAATCTATATCCAAGCAGACCAGCAACAGGACCAGTAAAGCATCGGCCCCTGCTGTGGCAAAGGACCCAGCTCAAAAGGTCGCGTTGGATTGTCTGGATGAGCTGGGTGAGCGATGGAAGGCAGACGAATTCGATTTGTACGACCAACTCAAACACGTCTCACTTCCTCGATTGAACGAACTTCGCAACCGATTCAGGGATTACGTCAAGAGAACCATGCGCTCCATGGAGACCTGGCAAAATGAACATTACCCTGAGGCACTACAATCGAAAGACAAGGGCTCGATTGAGTGGGCATTGCCAGACTATGTCATGTATGTGAATTCACCTTCGGCTTGGGGAATGCTTGAAAAAAAAAAAAAAAAAAAAAAAAAAAAAAAAAAGCTAACCTGTATATTTTTACTAGTCGACCTTCAATGCATACTTTCCCTGGAACCCCTGTTATTTTGCGTGAGGACGAAGTAAGCTCAATAATTGCATCTACTCTAAGGTAACGTTAACAGCCGTGCATCGAATGTCGTTCCTAGGTCCTTCTTTTTATGTCGTTTCAGCCTCTCTGATATGAAAACATTCTCCCCAAAAAAAAAAATAGCTGCAGGGATTATCTTGGTATGGTGTCGACTATGCTCAACAGAGATAGCGATGGTAGCGATGCTGAAGAGAGGGAACCATCACCACCACCACTGCCGAAAAAAGATTACCGAATGGAGGGCTTTCTCAACCCAACGCGCACACCACTAAAGACTTCACGATCAGATGGCAGCGTGACCCTTCTCGGACGGAAATGCGGCATCAACGAGAGCAATGGCAGTACAGTGGTTAGCAGCTCTCTCGACAACCGAAGTGGCTCTAGTCGGATGAGTGGATGCAACGTCGGTGATGATGAAGAGGAGGACGAGGAGGAGGACGCGTTTCTTGTGGTGGATGGATACCAGACCAGTGTCAAACTCTTGCAGATTTCAAAGGTCGATTTTGCAAGTCTTATCCCCAATGGCACCATGTCTCCACGGAGCACCATCGGAATTCATTTCGGAAGTGGCCGGCATGGCAAAAATTCGACCTTGGGTTTGAACACTGCGGACAGAAGGACCGATGCATCTGAGAAGCGACCCTTCAGTATGATGTCTCTTCCTAATTCGACGCCGGCACTAGTTGCATCGCCGCTATCGACGCCTTCGGAGAAGGCCTCAGCCAACTCGTTCTTTGTTTCGCCACCCGAGAGTCGCTCAACAACCCCAACCTCAGGAGGAAAGTCAAAGCACACGTTCGGTTATCAATCCCTCACATCTGGACTGAGTGGTACAATGAAGGGCTTAAGTCTTAACTCTTTATCGGAGAAGATTGGTAATGGGTTTTCGAGCTACAATTCTTCCAGTGTTTCTGCCGAGAAGGTAGAGAAGGAGCTGCTCATATCAGACACTACCGATGGTGGCAGCAAAGAGACGCCATCACCGGAAAGAGACATAAACTCAAGCATTGGAAACCCTCATATCAAGGCTCGTAAGTATTTGATTTTTGGTGCTGTATTATGCGCCAAAATATTTCTTTTTCAGAAACGCTGACATAGTCTTTTGTTTGCTATAGGATTCTCTCATGGAAAGACATCATTCTCATGTACTGTCTACTATGCAGCAGAGTTTGACACGCTTCGTCGTCGATGCGGTATCCACCAGATCTATGTTGAGTCGCTCTCAAGATGCACTAGCTGGAATGCTAACGGCGGCAAGAGCAAGAGCAGCTTCTACAAGTCAAAGGGTACTCGGTCATGCACTAGCTCTATATGTAGGTTGCAAGTGAAGCGTATAGAAACATACTTTAACAATAACTGTTCTTTCTTTTTTTGATAAAAACAGATGAACGCTTTGTTATCAAACAAATGATTTCCAGCTGGAACATTGCTGAAAAGGACGAGCTGCTGAAGTTTGCACCAAAGTACTTTGATTACATGGAGAAGACCCACGAGGCGCCCACGGTTTTGGCAAAGATCTTTGGCTTTTACTCGCTGAAGATTAAGAATGGCGAATCGGGTCAGGTTGTGAAGATGGATGTTCTGGTCATGGAGCATCTTTTTTACAAACAAAAGATTACCCGAGTAAGGAACAGAGGAACTCACTGCTGCCGGTAGACAGGACGTTTTGCAATGAAATATGCAAGGATGATGAGGTTTACAGAAATTTGACGTTTTATTTAACATTTCTTTCTAGACCTTTGATCTGAAAGGCATTCAGGATCGACACGCAGGAAGCAAATCGAATGCTGGCGGTGGTGGATCAACGACGCTTTGGGATGGAGACTTTATTGAGGGCCGATACAGGGCCCTTTTGCTTCTGCATTCACACTCGAAAAAGATTATCCGGGCGTCTCTACTGAACGATACAGAATTTTTGGCTGCAGCCAATATCATGGACTACTCGCTGCTGGTTGGCGTGGATGACGAACGCAAAGAACTTGTTGTTGGCATTGTCGGTCAGTGTTACGGCATAGAGATTGCAAGAAATGGTGCCATAGCAAGGGTAAAAGGAGCCTTAGATTCTCATCTTTGTGCTTTTGTTGCTGGCCTCGTGGGCACTAGATTTTATTGGAGCATACACATGGTACAAAAGAATCGAGTCCAAGGGTAAGACGACACTCCGGGGCGCGAAAGATAATGTCACGGTCCTCCCTCCACAGCAGTACAAGACACGGTTCAGAGAAGCGATGGAGCGATACTTCCTGTCTGTACCAGGTAAAATGTCGATTTCCGATGTCTCCATCTCACTTACACTATTCAAGAGCCTGAATTTACGGCGTTGATTACGCAATGCATTATTCAATAACCAACTATCTTTTGCTTATATATCGTGACACCTTTTCTAGATAAATGGTCAAAGACGGTCGTGGAGCAAGAGGAGGAAGCAAAGGAGGCCAACAGCAGTAATGGCACGGCTCCAATAACCATACATGAAGGATCAAATGAGAACCTCGGTGCGCCAGATTTGGAGCAGACTCTGAAGAACAAGACTTCTGGATATCTGGAAAAAATGTCTAAGGCTATTTTGCCTTCCAAACCGGTAGACTCTATGGCCCCCTCTCGTATCCTTTTGGCGTCAACTGAACAGGACTGCGACGACAAGAGAGTGGATGGGTCTGGAGAGACTGAAGCCCGTGTCCAGAAACTGCCACGAGTATTTCATCCACTTGACTAGAGAGATCTATGTTATTCTAGATGTATTTCTATTCACTCTTGCGTACTTGCATATGTCCCTAGCGAAGTAACAATGTTCATGGCAACGATTACGGCGCAGTTTGCACATATTTGGTTCTGATGGCAATAGTTTGCTCCGCAAGCATACAGTCGCCAGATTCGATTCCAGAATGTCCGGATGGTCAATCCCCTATCACCGCAGTGCGCCGACAAAGAACTCATCATTAGTTATCTAACATCGGAACACCTTTTGTTTTTTTGTTTTTAATGAGGAAAATGCAACTATATTTACAATGAATAAAGAGGTCCGTCTAAACTGCACTATCGTCTTGAAAGTGTAGACATTGAGAATAGCGGGGGAAGAGAGGGGAGGGCTACAAGTACAAAACGAACGCGAATCCACGGTGAAAGAAAAACGTGATCGGTATGAAGGGGAAGAAGAGAGACGCGACAATGATAAATCATATTGTGACGGAATGAGGTGATTATTAGATTATCGTATCGCGCCTTGAGTACCCATCATCGCCGATTTTTATGCGACCTCGACGACCTGCTGAGGTTGCTGTTCTTGTTGGCGCTGCTGGATCGCCTGCTGCGCTGCAAGCAGAGCCTGCTTCTTCTTTTGGGTTGCCTGGAACTCAGCCCTCATCTTAAAATAGTCGACATGGAGTCCGCACTCGGTCTTCTGTTTGCCCTCCCAACGGCCAGAACGCTCGTCATCTGGATTCGAGGCAGGCTTGGTCGAGTGCCAGTCGCCAATGGAGCGATAACCCTGGTCAAGAAGAGCATTAAATGGGACTTGGTAGGCGCGGAGATAAGTCCAGACCTGCTGGAAAGACCAAGTCGCTAAGGGATTCAGCTTAAGAAGACCGGTGCCTGGCTCTACCTCAAGAATATCAAGTTGAGAGCGGTCACCCTTTTGAGAACGACGGCGACCGGAGATCACAGCCTGGGCGCCCAACTCTTGATAGGCGCGGCGGCCGGGCTCAACCTTGACGAGGTAATCATAGGAGACTTCATCCATCTCCCAGAGCTGTTTACCATGCAGATGCTCGAAATCCTCGGCCGTCTCGCAGTCTTGGGGCTTGTAGACCTTGAGAGGGATGTTGTAGTGATCTTGGACACGCTGGGCCAAATCGAGGGTCTCTTGGAAGTGGTAGAGGGTATCGATGAAGATCAAGGGAACAGGGTGGCGACGAGTGTTGTAGCCAGACTTTTTGAAGCGGCTAAGGCTACCATCCTCATCATCGTCCTCCGAGGCCGAAGACGAGGCTGGCGTGGGGTGGACATTGGCGGCGGCCTGCTGATCGATATGGATGCGATTGATCATGTCGAGGATAACGAGGCCGGTAGGACCGAAGGCAGTGGTCTGGATAAGGCCAGGGAGGGATATCATGGCCCATTCGATGATCTTTTCTGGCGACAGTTTCTCGAGTTTGGCATTGATAAACTTGAGGTGGGCGGGGGTGAATGTTGCAGAAAGAGCGAATGTCTGCTTGCTATTGACTGTTGACTCTGGCATGTCGGAAGAGTATATATCTGTGATCGAGTGTGTGAGGAGTGTGAGGAGTGTGTGTGACGGAGGAGTGAGAATGAAAGAGTAGAGTCTGCAGGAGGGCGTGAGGAAGATCGCAGGAACGAGAGAATTGGATTGGAGAGATAAACTATGAAGGTGAGTTTGGAAGAGTAATGAAGGAAAAAAGAAAAGGAAGGAGAAAAGAAGAAGGAACGACGGAGTTCCGGCGATGTTATATAGATTGGATGCAAGGGGCAACCAGATGCGCAATGGCAGCCACGTACCCCGATCTATGTTCTTTGGCGATAACGAACAAAGAACAGCTCGTCAAGTTGAATTGAGTTGCGTTGACCATGACAAATACACTGAGATATCTTGGTTCATGCGCATTTCTAAGCGGCAGTCATCATAGCGTGCATCCTTTTCTTTTGTGGGGGCAACAGCTCTCTGCAAAACAGCACAATTGCATCCTTCCATGGCTTCCTTATCCATCCCACGATCTACCTAAGCGCAAAGTGTGAGAAGTGTAACGAAGTGGACACGAACCATCCAAGGAGTAACAGTGCCCTTTGTCTGCGTGGTTGAACATGCCACATAGTCTATCGCCATATTGCGTCTTTCTCCAACGCGATGGTATCATCATCTTTCTTTTCGCTGCCAGCGAATCAAATTGCGCGGAGCGTCGCCTACGAAACTAAAAGTTCTTTTTAATCTAGAGAGGCAGTCACAGTTCTGCGCGTGTTGCGAAGCACAGAAAAAAAGTTCGGGCGAATTAAAATTTAATTCCCAGTCCGGGGATCGAACCCGGGCCTTGTCGGTGAGAGCGACAAATCCTGACCACTGGACCAACTAGGAAATAGTTGCATATCACATTGAGATTTAATACTACATATTGCTAACTTTATGAATTGTTATTTCCTCTCAGAGATCCTTTATTTCCTACCAGCCTTTCCCTCTCCTGCTCCCAGTAGTGAGTCCGAGGAATGCAGGCGATCGTGCACGGGGGCGATTATGTCCAGGAAGCTACTGCACAATGGATTGATGAGCTACTGGAGGAATTACCATCCGATCTGGAAGAGCCACAGGCGCCAAATGGCTTGGACGAAGATGAGCAGCCCGCCGCTGTGCATCCAGCACCAGTTGACAATTTAGACAGGGCGGTATTACGTCTACCTGTAGGGAATACTGCGACTGCCGACGATGACAGCGTGCCCGACGAAGCTGCGAGTGAGGAGGAAAGGTCCGAAGGCGGAGGAGATAACAATGCAGAACAACCGATGGATCAACCACCACTGGAGGAAGACAATGGAGAGCAGAACAACGGTTTGCTGTCGTCTCAGGACATTCTCAACTTGGATCCGGAAACTGCGCTCTTCACACCGCGAGTCCAAGAGACGCTCAGCCAGCGTAGCGTAAGGAAGCAGGAATACATTCGACGTGCTATGGTAAAAATGACAGGCAATCGACTGCGTGATCAAGACGACTTGGACCGTGCTTTCGACAGAGAAGAGCACAGACTCGATCAACAATGGATTAAACAGAAGCGGGCACAACTGAAAGTAGTACAGAGGCACCTTCGGCAACAAATGCAGCAGGCAGAACAGCAAACACGGGAACAACAGCGACAATTGGAAGAGGAGCGGCGGCGGGCAGAACAGCAAGAGAGTGACCGACAGCGGCAGCTGGAAGAGGAGCGGCAGCAGGAGAAGCAACAGCAGGAGGAGCAACGACGCCTGCGGGACATCGAGAGACGGGCTCGATACAGAGAAGAACGACGAAGACGACGCCATTTATATCGTAGATATATGAATGTGGATGCAGAGGCGTGTATAGACCACTTGCATGAGGATGCGCACAAGGCGGTGGACAATATGACGACACCTGTTCGCCAACCATTGCCGGCAGTATCAGATGAAATTGAGCGAGATTTACTGGGATTGGCGCTCCAGGTACCAACAATCCAGCAAATTCGGACAGCTAGGAGACGTTTGCAAACACATCGAAGGCTTCACTTCTGCTCGGATGGGTCAGTGATTCACAACGGCACAGAGCAGGTCAGTGCAGCATTCGGAGTTGTCGTTTCTGTGGATGGTGGTCCCTACACAACGGCGTTCAGTGGACGGGTCGGGGGATACGCGTCGTCAACAATTGCAGAGATGTGTGGGCTCTTGGCAACAATTCTTATCAGCCCAAGGGAAGAGAACGTCGACATCTACATCGACAATCTCACAGTCGTCAACAATTTCAAGGAGTTGGTGCAGCAGCGGGATTCAGCAACAGCAAGGCAGCGTTTGAGATCTGCAGATGCACAGTGGTGGGCGATGGTGCATTATGCCTTCTTGCAACAAGGACAAGGTATATCTGTGCATTGGGTACGAGGACATGCTGGACACCGTGGCAACGAGGCTGCAGACACTGTTGCCAAGGCAGCACATGGGATCGATACAGGACTATGGAGGCTAGACGCAACGCAGCACCATGATTTGAAATGCCACGCACAGTTTGCAACACACAGTGCAGACCTGGACTTGAGGAGGATACTGAAGTTGCAGTCCGCGGTACGGCACCATTATCAGTGGACATTGCAGCATCGAACGAGGACCTACATCAAGGATTGGCGGTCGGTAGCATGGGCGCCCACGCTACGGATCTTACACGATAACAACCCACCAAAGCGCTTATACACCAGCCTGGAAGACTGTCGTTTACGTTCGCACAGGATCAAGAAGCTGCATGGAGATTTGCCGACATTGCAGGCGATGAAGAAACGACATCCAGATACCTACCAAACGGACATATGTCGTAGGTGTGAGAGGGAACCAGAGACGAACGATCATCTTTGGCGTTGTTCAGCTACCTTGTGCGACCAGCGACAAGAGTGGAGGGACGCGGTGGAGGAAGTGGAGTTGAATGGATATCGTGCATGGAGACAGGCAGTGCGAAAATGGGAACAGGAGAGAGAGGAGGCCGAACGGAAGGACAAGCCCTTCACTGCGACTTGTCCCAACTTCTCGGCAACAGGAACGAAGGCTATCTGGGAGTCAATGCAGTGGATTCAGGGGACGGCGGAAAGGCGAGGGACATATCGGGTTGCGGAAGAAGAGGAGCCGGAGAGTGAGGCAGATTGGGAGGTCAAGGACTTATACCGAGGTTTGGTGCCAACGGGACTCATTGAGACCTGGAAGCAGCTATTTACCACCACCAAGTGGATTGCGACGATCATGGTGACAAAGTTCGTGAGCAGGATCGAAGAGTTTGGCAGGACCAAGATATGGAACAAACGATGCGAGGACACTGTCGCCTGGGAAAAGTCAGTTGGAATCACCTTCATGAGCAAACGCGCCGGAGGACGCAACGGTGATCGGGGACACCAACGTAGTGTTGGTGATTTCTCTGATTTGAAAGGGAGACGGTTACTTGCAACGGAGATCCAGGAAGGTAGACGGACCGCGGATTATAGGGTGCTACAGCATTGCTTGGGGCGAGGGAAGTTGGACATAATGGAGGGGTTATTCGGTTTAAAAACAACTTTATTAACATTGGATCTGGATTAGGAGACGTGTATCGCGCAACAGGTCACGCAGGAGTTAGGTTAGGCTAGCTATGCGACATGGGTTATGAATTTGACGCCTCAAGCCAACATAGTTGGTAGGGGATGCGGCTCTGCCGTGCATGGAAGGCATCTATGGCTTCAAGGCCTTTGCGGACCATGCGTCTTGTGCTCATGGGGATTTATGTTAATAAAAAAAAAAAAAAAAAAAAAAAAAAAAAAAAAAAAAAAAAGTAGTGAGTCCGAGGAATCTTTCCTTCCTACCACGTTTGGGGGGCACATACATACACACACCGCACAATCCCTATCCACAAATCACTACCCCTACCAGTGCACCCAACCGTGCAACGCAATATGGCCATGACAGGTGGCATTGAGGCAGCTCTAAACCCTCACCAACGACCGACTGAGGTCGATAGCGGCATCATTGAGCATAAAAACAAAAAGCAACACGTAGACCTAGGTAATGGTGAGGGCAGCCATTCTATCATGGTCCCAGCCACATCTGGCAAGACACTTGTCCCGGACTC